GTTAATCGCTTCGCATATGTAAGTCATTCCTTTCTTCGCTATGTCTCATGGTTTCATCTTTCTGATTAATAACAAAATGGCTTTTATTTTCACGTTGTCTCATGAGCAGAACATGCAGAAGATCTATTGCTTTTGATTCTATTGCATGATACGATATTTGAAGCTCGATGGATCTCCTGCGTCATTGCTCCTCTTTCTGTTCTTAGGTTTCCACTTCAATGAGTTTCTATCTTCATAGAAGGTTCATCGAATTGAACTGGTAGGCTATTGTTGTTTGTGAACGATTTATAAAATATAAAAAATGAATTTGAACAATGGTTTTGGTCCTAGATTTGTTTGAAAGCAAAGGAGATGTTTGTGTAGAATAAGGGCAGTTGTACTTTCCCAAAGCCCTGTCTACTTTCTTGATGGGTCCTGTACTTTATGTTTGTTCTTTGTTTAGCTATTGAAATAATAAAATAAGATCACAATTAGAGGGGGGGAAAATACTATTACCCATAATATTGGATCCAATCAAACACAGTAGTTTCTACTTAATGTATAATATCCTCTGGCAATTCAGAAATCACCTTAACCCTCTGCATACTGCTCTTTGCCTCACTAGGCTCTAGAGTTGAAAACCTCCAACCGAAAAGCTCTACAAGTTTTAAAAACAGGGGGGATATGGGAATAAGTCACCCCTGCACGAATCAAAGCATCACCGTCTGGCCAAATAAAAACATGGTCCAGGAACTCTCCATCTGCATTATGCTCCACTAGTATCTTAGCAAACCCTAAGCTTCCCCTTGTTCGAGTACTAAGATCCACACCTAACGGGACACTCAGGCCATGATAGTTCACATATTTTAAGCGAAGATTAAAGAGTCTTACCTAGATCGAAAGAGCCTTTCTCCCCAAATCCTCGATGTCGATTCCTGGAGTTCAAGGCTTGGGGTGGAGAAGATTGTCAAAGTAGAACCATGGCTCGATCTCTATCCAAGATCCATTCACACATTGCCTACGAGGGAAGTTGAATAAGAACCAGCTGTTTGCTAAGGAGGGAGATCCGAACTTGGCCATCACAACCCCAAATTATGTTCGCCCATCTACGAAGAACTACTAGTGGAGGAGCTTGATGAAGAAATTGACCAACTAGACTATGTTTTTCATCCCTTAGCAAACTCATCCTTCACCATCATTGCCATCTTCAAACCCCCTTAAAAAACTTTCGGTTTCACATAGCTAAGGCGATTCGCCTCAGAAATGCCAAAATAGGTTAGCCTAGGGCTTCATTGGTACCCCAGAGATTAAGCAAGACGGCGAAGCTAGGACAACAAAAGGAGTTTTCGAACCAAAAGCAATAATCGAGTAGCAGCTGCTGAACCATAAGAAGAAAATAGTACTGGTGCAGGTGTCGGCATAGCCAACCAAGCCCAAAATGGAAACCTAGCTCGCTTGAAAATTGGGAGGATTCCTATCTCTACCTTCTCTCACAAGTGCTTTCAATAGTTTCTCTTCCTTAACATGAAATATTCATAATGAAACATGTACTCTTTGATACTATGTGTTGTATATCACCTAACATTGATTTGTACGTTGTTGTTGTATGGTTTGTATAATTTGTATACTTTTTGTTCTGGAACAAGAGGGAAGAAAAACGCGGCTCAAAGTAAGGTGTATAACCTTAGGGTGCATAATTATCGGTAACCAAATTTGGACCCTTCTTGTAAGTGGCTGCAGATCTAAGAGTTGTAAATTAAAAACATTCCCCCCCCCCCCCCCTTATTTTTCTTAATCGGATCATATCTTTTATCTAACTCGGATTTAAATTTTTTTTTGCACAGATGGAACGAGTTCGTTGTGCTCTACAAAATGAGATTCATTTTCAATATTTTTTGAGAAACTTATTTTCATACTTCTCGTTACCAACTCCATACCATATGATATCTCCTTTGTTTTTTAGTCATTTTCAGAAAATTTTGCACAGAAGGAACGATTTAATCATGATCTATTGGATTTCTAAATTTTCTAGGTGAAAAAATTCCATACCTCTTGTTACCAACTCTATACCATACTATACCACATTGGTATGTGGTGGTATTTTTCAAGCCATATGTTATGCTCTTATTTAATACCAGTCAATATCATATAGTATAGACTGGTAATAACTGACTCAAATTTTTTTGTTCTAAAATATATCAAAGTGTATATCATTTTGAAGAACACAATTAATCTTATCTAACTGTGCAAAAAATTAAATTAAATTTTGACTTAAAACAAATGAGAAATCGTTCGTTAAAGATTAAAAAGAGAAAAATTAAAAACTTTCCAAGAGTGAAAAGTGGCGTTGATGTGGAGGATTCTGATTGAATTATGAATGAGGTTATTGACCACAAGGTTATTCATCCGCTCTCATAGAAAGAGGTGTCTTAAAGAGGACACGAGGAAAGAAATAATAAAATAAAAAATATTTTTAATACTGTAATTATCCCTATTACTTATTAAATAACAAATCCTTTAATTTAATCGTTAGATTTATAAATGTAGATCTAAAGGCTAAGAACCCCTAATCAATAGGTCTACTAGGGAGTAGTCACCAGGTTGGGAGCGAAGATGTTATCGTGTTGGAAGAGATGATACTTACACTATATTTGGGAAGGGGTGTAAATGGAAGGGGGTGCAAGTTTGGAGGGGTAAACACAAGTTCCAAGGTGTTTACCCCCGTTTGGTTATTTTGTAACAGTAGGGGGGTGCAAAACGTGAGCGTAAATTCACTGTTTCGGCTTACCCCCAAATTGGGGTGCAAGGGAAGGAAGGAAGGGAGGGGGAAGGGGGAGGAGGGGAATTATGAAATTTTAATTAGACTATAATTACATAATAATTAATATTATTAATTTTTCTTATATCTATATTAGTGTAGAAGTTGTTTGGGGTTGACCGTTTGACTCAGAGAGCAAGTTTGTCAATGTTCGCCTCGTCAAATCGATATCTCTTAGTTGACCCGAATTTGCATTGAACATTAGAGATAAGAAGCATTTGTTGAAAAGATAGAGAGGAACAGTTTAGTTAACTCGATTTACTTTAATAAGTAGTTAAAACTTACAGATTCGAACGTGTTTGACTAAGTTTGACCATATTCAATTTAAAGTTAGGCACGAGAACCCCCTTAGGATGACCAGTTACGAGTTGGATTTCAAGTTTCGAGGTTGCTCGACCAATGATTATTATTGTTGTTATAAATAATTATATTTGAGCATTATTATATAATAATTATTTTTATTAAAATTATTTTTATTTATTATTTTTATTATTATATATTGAATTTTCATGTTTGTGATAATATTTTATAAATTGATAAATCTATTTTATAATAATATAATTACCTACTTTTTACTCTATTTGCACCCCCCTACTTTTTCATCCAAACAACAATTTACCCCTCCACTTACACCCTCCACCAAGTTGCACCCCCCAACAATTTACCCCTCAACTTGTACCCCCTCGAACTTGCACCCCCCTTGTTGCCAAACATAGTGTTAGTGAAAAAAGTCATCGTAAAAGAAAGTCTAGAACAGAGTCATTTTAAGCAACAGTAATACCAAACACACTATTCTCATAGTTCGATGGATAGAAGCTTTAGAACGACAATTTTTTTATGTGTAATGCCATTACATTCATTGTTGAGAATAGTGTCTAGCCAGTAGTCATAAGTGATCGTATAAAGCAGTAAACGATTGACCAAACAAAAAGTAACTTTCAACGATGTGAAATGGCTATGATAATAATGTTCGCTGCATTATCGACTAACTATTTCAAACGCACTTGGTTGTGAATGCGTTAGCTATAATGTGTATGGCTATCACGCATGTGGCAAATTCTGGCTGGTCGAACCTGGTTCAACCGGTGCCAGTCTACTATCGGCAATGATCAATTTTTAGTCTATAAATAAAAGGATAATACCATTGAGAAACCCAAACTATCAAGAAAGTGTCTCTTGTGTTCCGAACTATTCAATATGACATTTATGTCATAAACTATTTTTTCAAAGTGTTGACCGAGTTTGACCGTCAATATTTAATAGAAAAGTTAGTCATTGTTGACATGGCATCTGATATAGAATTTTAAATCTTAAATATTCTTTATATTTTCATCTAAAATGATTGAAATTAGAAAAATAAAAAGTTACAAAAATCCCAAAATTGTCTTAAATGCTCCTTCAATTCCGCTCCTAAGTAAACATCAAGTTGACCACCACCGTCTCGTCAACCGTTATCTATAATGATTAGCGAAATTGAGATGACATAAATGACACACAACTATCATATGTTTGGACATAAATGAAATATTGAATAGTTCGAGACACAAATGACACTTTCTTCATAGTTATGGTTTCCCATTTGTATTAGCCCTAAATCAAATGACATCGTTTTAGTGAATTTAATTAATAAAACTTAATTTTTTAAATTTATTTCACTAATTTAAAAGTTAAATATTGATATTATTAGGGATTTAAGTATAAAAGTTGGATTGTTGACGTTAAATATTTTATTTAAATATGAATATTTGTTATTTTGTTTGGAATGTTATACTTTATTTAAATATAAATATAGATTGTAAATAATTTTCTTCAAATATGTTTTACATATTGCTTAAATTCATTTGAAGTTAGTCATTTTCTTATTTCTACATATTATATTTAATCGCCATGAATCGACACAAATCAATTATACTAAATTACCAACGACCAAATTATATCACTCACCAAACGGGATAACTTTATAAACCGGTTTGACAACCTCGTTAGTATCACTTGGAACGCAGCGCAGGAGCATCCTCTATTCCTCTCAATAGTTGGGATAAGGTCATATCGGACTACTGCCTGCTTCTTCTATCCATTCCCCCTCTCTTTCGTCTCTCCCAGTCCCAACTCTTCTTCTTGCTGCTAACACCCTCTTCCCGATTCTCCAAAATCTCGCACTTCCCATTTGAATGAAACAGAAATCCCTCCACTGAAATCAGAGATGCCAATCACAGCTCCAACATCTCTCGCCCATGGCGGCTGCCGCTACTACCACCACAGCTCTCCCACTACCACGCCGTCGCTTCCCCTTGCTAAATTCTCTTCCCTCTCTTTGAAGTGCAATTTCCTCTCCAAAACCCCGCTAATATCCCACCCGGCGACGACCCAATTCCATCTCCCCATCACCTCCCCCAGGAACAAGAAATTGGGCCTCTCCGTCGTAGCAATGAGCTTCGACGCCGGCGTGGGCGTGATGGGGACCAAGCTCGGAATGATGAGTTTCTTCGAGCCCGACGGCGTGGTGGTTCCGGTCACGGTGGTCGGGTTCCGGGAAGGCAACATTGTGACCCAGATTAAGACCGATTCGACCGACGGGTATGATGCGGTTCAGGTGGGTTATCGTAGGGTTAGGGATAGGAAGCTGACGAAACCTGAGATGGGTCATTTGGAGAAAGCTGGGGTTATACCCATGAGGCATTTGCAGGAGTTTAGGCTGCAGACTATTGATGGGTTTGAAGTTGGGCAGAAGTTGACTTTCGAGGAGCTCTTTAAGGAAGGGGATTTCGTTGATGTCTCTGGAATCACCATTGGCAAAGGGTTTCAAGGTTTTCTTTCCGTTCTTTTCATATATCTTTTTGCTGCCTGAAAGTTACATTTTGGGTTGGCTTTCCCTTGCTTGTTTGCGATAATTGAAGTATTCAAGTAGTCTAGTCTTGTGAGTGGTAGTTTTCCACTGGACTTAGTAGTTGGCAAGGATTTGGATTCTTAGTGAGTGATAGCTTAGTGCTTGTTGAACCGAGTTATGATTAGAATAGTTTAGCTCCTCTCTTGTTAAAGAACCTTTGCCATCACATTTGCCTATGGGGCAATGAATTGCAGACGTATTTCAGATCGGTCTGTTCATTCTTCACTTCAATTGGCAGTAAATTCTGCGCACCAACCGCTACATATTGTAGAGATTCTGTAGCTTAGATTCGTAATACTACCCGTAAACCTTAGTTTGCCCTTGGACAATAGTGTTCCCTTCGGGGCGCAATGTTTTATCAACTGTAAGCATATAACTTGACCATGCATGCCATTGGTATTTGGTAGGCTGCAACTGAAACCTCTCTATGCAGTTGAAGAAAAAGGAAAAGTAATTCCCCAGACCAGTAGAGTGGTAAAAACTAGATCACCCGTTCCAGGGTGGATAAAAAAAAGGGGAAATAAAAAACAATGCTGACATCCATTTTTGTGTTCTTCCAGAAATTCAGTTTTATGCTGCATTTTTCTATCATGAAACCTTTGTCTTCGTTGTTAGAATGTGTGGTTCTACATTGTTTCCATCGTAGTTCATTCTTGATGATAGTTCAATCCTTATCTTGTTACCAGGTGGTATCAAGAGGCACAACTTCAAGAGAGGACTGATGACTCATGGTTCCAAGAGTCACAGAGCTCTGGGGTCCATTGGTGCTGGAACTACACCAGGTCGAGTGTACAAAGGGAAGAAGATGCCTGGCAGGATGGGAGGAACCAAGACCAAGATCAGAAAGCTCAAGGTGGTCAAAGTTGACAGTGATCTCGGGGTAGTGATGATCAAAGGTGCTCTTCCGGGTAAGCCTGGCAATCTTCTGCGCTTCGCTCCTGCTAAGATAGTTGGCAAGAACATACCCAAGAACTAACCAGCCATCTCCCTCTCTCTCTCTGGTGTCACTCAACTGTAGTAGTCGCAATTTTTGTATCATGTAAAAGTCATCATTGTGTTTTGACATTGTTCATCCTTGGACAGTTTTTAGCCTGATGGTCGCTTCCTATGTCGAGTATTGTCCATGGCTAATGCAAAATTGCATATGATGCTGTAGGTCTGTTATGTGCGTCCGCAAATAGTTGAGTAAGGGGTAGCGGTGCGACGATATGGACAGTCGTCACACGGCAAGCAAATGCATAGTTTGGGAAACCGGCCTAATTGCCTAAAACTTTCGGATCTCCAGTAGGATTGCTCTAAAACATGAGCATCTGCCTGGTATAACAAATGATAAGATGTAGTATATGGTATGCAAATAATAAAATTATTGAATCATGGATCTCTAGATACACCTTATTTTGGCTTAAGTTTCGTTATCTAGTCAACCTAGAATAGTGATTAAGAAACTAATCTAGCTAAACTAACCTAACCAGTAACCTAGCTAATTGCAAGCTGTGGAGTTCTCCTAGCTTGAATCCCCCTAGATTCTCATATAGATCGATGTTGATTACTTCCCTAGATCGATTTAATCAATACCTCTACCGTTAGGAGATCGATTCCCTCCGAAATTGACCCGGAATGATGTAGTGGTGATTTGTTAGTGCTATATTCAACCTAGGGAATTCATATGCCATCAAGAGATCGATCGAATCAACTCCCTCGAGAATTAACCCAGAATGACATAGATTGAGGAGTGACCCTAATTGTCAAGAATGGGCCAAAAGGGGATTGTCTCCCTCCTAGGTCAAAAAGTCCCAAATTGAGGGTTGGAATTCAAATCCATCAATTGCATGAAAATTACTCAATTCAATAAATAAAAGAGACACCCAATCTTAAGGTTGTCACAAGCATCAACATTCAACACATAATCAACAACCAGGGTTCATCAACCTAAGAGAAGAGAGCTAAATCATAGAGAGGAGAGATTATAACAAGAAGTTCAAACTTTATCAATTCCTCCAATTAAGCTTCAAGATCACTCAAGATCACTCTCACTCTAGAAATTCCTCTTTGGTGTTTTGGGCCAGAACCCTAAAGGAAAAACCAAGCTCTCCTACTTCCCGTAGCTACCTTTTTATATGCTCGATGGTGCATACTTCACGGTCACTCTTCACGGTTGTGATATTAGCAAGAAAATGGTGATCTCAACTGAAAATGCATTGTTCTTTTGCGCCACATAACGGTTTTATTATTATCACGGTATGGGATCATGACCTTGCAATGTCCGCGAGCAGTACGAAGCCTCATGGAAAATTGCACACTTCACGAGTTTTGGTGTGATTTTCACTCCCTCAGAGCGTGACAGCCCATGATACTTGACCTCCGAATGTCCGAAAACTTGTCCTCGATCTTCCCACAAGTACTAGATACTGAAATATGACAAAATAAGTACAACTTAGCGTAAAGTAGGTAGAGGGACGACGATTACCAACCTAAACAATCATAAGATTAAGTGGGAGATCATGTATAAATGTGTCCGAATCAGGAATGATTGAATTTTGGTTGATATGGACCTTCCCACAAATAATCTGAATCACTGTGAGTGGGCGATTTATTTGAGTGGAGTGTAGGTTGGTAAGTCTCCTACCTGTACTTATTCGGGGTAGGTGTATGAATCGTGGATTACTCAAATGGCTTGAATTCCAAATTCACATGACAAATGATTTTTTTTTAATACAATCAAATGACTATCACATTTCTACCCACGTTATAGATTGACCATTGAAAGGCGGAAAATAAATAATATATTTGGACTGCTATTGTTAATTACTATGTTGTGCAATATGTCCATTGGATATCGAGATGCAAATTTCAAACAATTAATTGTATCAAAGTCGCAAAAAACATCAATTTGCTCTACAATTGGTCGATGAACTAGTGAAAGATTTTATACCTCTGCCAAAGAAGTGAATCCACATGCACAAAGAGCCTTTTTCTATAAGGATATGTGGTTAGTGACTTTTTGTATATCAACGAATACTTCATTTAAAGTGGTCAAATAAAAAGTTTGTATGAGTAATATAAATGTTTGCACGTCACAATTATTAGTCGGATTCACAGGAGACAAAGCAGGAGGAATCTAAATTGTACACTCTTACTCATTTGGAATAAATTTATAGTAAATAATAGTCTCTTTAACGGCTAGTTGAGAATTGCTTTTGTGTGTTAACCCACAACCCAACCGCATACACCACCCACTAACCCAACCTTAAGAATATTGTGGGTAGATAACGGATCTCAGTTGTACCTACTTGATAACGGATCTCAGATGTAGCCTCAACCAACATATATTAATTATCATAGAGTTTGACATTCCCAAAAATAATGTTTGGCTTTTGAAAGAAAAAATCAATATATTCATGGAGTGAGCAATCAAATTAGGAACAGAACTTTATGGATGATGTTATAATTAGTGGATCAATATGTTCATCACACGAGTAGTTGGCTTAAAGAGGGCAATAGACAAGTTTTTTTCTATAGACATGTTTTAAATAGGCGAAGAAGGAACACAATTACTGATAGAAACCTGGATATCAGGTTCTATCAGAGTAACTAGGGGTTTGGAGAAATGGGGTCAATCACTGAGGTAGTGATCGACTTTAGTAGGATTAAAGGAAGAAGAAGAGTTGAAGAATGGAAGAAAAGAGGAAAGGAAGGCTACGGCGGCGGCAGCAGAGGAGGAGAAGAGAGGGATCATCTAGAGTGAGGAAAAGAGAGGGAGATTAGGCAACGTAATTAGGTTTAATCTTCTGCTTAACCTTGACCTAGCTCTCTAAAATGGTTTATATACTAAACCACAATTTCTACTAACTACCCCAACTTATTACTCCCTCCCAATAATTCCGAAATGTCCCAACAAATCCCCCAACAATAATAATTTAACATATAAGTTCAAATGCAGAAAGAATATAAATCGCAGTTTCTATCAATTACGGAACTAGGAAAACAAAAAGCAAGTGAAATGACCAAAGACGATTACATACTATATTGTTCAATACTTATGACATCAATATGAAGCATAACCAAGGCTTAGTGACCATCATGTTCTACAAGCAGTACAAATGAAGGTTACTCACCAGATGAACATGACTCCTATGGTGTCCTATAGTGATGAGATATGTCCTATCACTTCTTGGTTTTCAAAAGAATTTGGAAACGGTAGGCCCAATGGTGATGGTTTTATTCCTTGGTTGCTTATTCAGAGATTGACATGGATCCAATATTGATATACTAGAAAGGTATATTCAGAACCCCATTAGAAATTGAGATTCTTAGGTGACAAGGGTGTGATAACACCAAACTTGGTGTTATTTAACTACCTATCTAGGTATGTTTTGTGCCAATTCATGTGTTTAAATGGTTAAACATCATCAAATACATCTCTATTTGATTTCGATGTAATTTAGGGTGTATTAGTCGATATGTGCTAATTAGGTACAAAACAAGGTCACAAGCGTAGAGAAGGGGCAGGAATTGAAGATTGTGTCCTAGAAGCCAAAGATCACGGCCGAGATCACAAGCCGCGAAGACGAGTTGAAGATCGCGGCCTAGAAGTCAAAGACCGCGATCACGATCTTGGGGCCCAAGGCGCGAACTTCGCGTGGAAGGAGCCTTGGAGAAGTAGAGAGTTTCCTCAGTCTCATCAGGACCAATGTTCACTTTGCCCGCGAGAAAGATCAAGGCCACAACTCGTGGATCGTGACCACGAAGTCAACCCGCAATCTCCCCCTTCAAAAGGCCATGATGACGTTGTCTTGAGATTGCGGCCTATCCTCAGAAGATCCCGCCCTGTGATCTCCCATCCTCAGGCCGCGAACTTCCTCGACCATAATGCCTATAGATACAATACCCCTTTCCCCTTTTTAGGAGAGCTGATTTTGAGAGAAAATTTCTGGTTCTAGAGAGAGAATAGAGAGAATCCGAGGAAGGAGAAGAAAAGGAGGAGCTAGGAGCAAGGAGGTACCCTCTTCAACCCCAAGTCTTCTTCTATTTCTACCATGTATCTTCTTCCCTCCTTTATGGAGTAGTCCTCTAAGGTACTAGGGGTTCTAAACCCCAAATCCTAAATTTAGGGTTTACTATGTATACATGGATATTTTAGGGTTTGAACGAATGAATGTGTTTGTCTAGTTGATTTTAATGCCACTCTTTCCTAAATGATGACGCTTGGTTAATTTGCCATAATCTTCCCTTTTAGCCTACTTTATGGAGTTCTAGGGTTAGACGAGTATGTACCAACTGGCGAGTTTAGGTTAGATGTGTGAATGGGGGCCCATAGTGGTCGAGGAGACCGAACCCCTGCTATAGGTAGCCTTCCTGAATGAAATCCAAGATGAAACCTTGGTGTGGACGGTGGATAGTGTCCATTGAAATGAGCCATAAGTTTAATACCCCAGATACGATAGTCTAGATCGAGGTGACTAGAACATGGATTTAGGGGAGGCGTACTCGGAGGCGTGTGATACTTCTTATCTGGGGCACACAACTTATTTCTTGTGAGTGAGAAGATGGAGGGCATGTTGGCGGTGTGTGAAACTTATTATCAGGAACTCTGTGACCTTTGCTGCCCTGATCTGGATTTGGAGGGCGAGATTGGATCCGACGCCGAGCAAAGTGCGGTGGACAGAACTGGAAATAGATGGCCTCGAAACCAGCCAGGTCGGCCACGAGAGAATCAGAGTGGAAGGCAAAGCTGCTGATCTATTTTGTGCTTGCATCTCTTCTCAGTGGTTCACGGTAACAACAACAAGGTGAGGGTACGAGATGGGGATGGAAAAAGACGGGAACGACATATCTGTTCCCTCCCTTTCTCCTTTAAAGATTTTTTAAAAGGAAAATTTTAATTGGATGGGATAAGCTTCTAGTCATTTTTTTGGTTTTGTGTCTAGTCCTCCTCTCCTCCTCTAAAAAGCAACCCCATGAAAATATATTAAATTATTTTATTAAATAAGCATATGTGATAAGTTTCTATATGGAAAAATGAATAAGTCTTAATTCTAACAATTTTCATTGTATCTAGTCATTATTATTTATTTAAAATTTTTTATGTCACCGATTTTAAAATAAGTTTTATACTGGTTATCCGATAAACCTTAAATCTTTTGTCAATCAAGATCGTAACCCGGTCTGATTTTGAAAACACTGATATGAAGCATATATCCAACCAGATGAGCATATTTCTAGCGACTGTAACTGAGATGCGGGATGAAGTTCATTCTTTTAGCGGAACATACATGTATCGAGCACAATCGAGCAACAAAATTTTAGCAACACCAATCGGGATAATCAAGATGAGTGAGAGGATAGAAATCAAGTAACTATGTGAAATACAATATGCTCTTTATTTATTTTGGTGTGCTCTATTAAGCTTGTAAGACGATGTGGTTTAAAGCAACTATGATTTTGGATTGAGATTAAGCCATTGTTTTGAATTTGAGATATGTGTGAACTATTTTGAGATGTGTTGATTGTGTTTTTTGTTAATGGTTAAGGTTTAAAGAAGATATGGTTTTTCGCTACTATGATCGTTGACTGAATTTCAGCATTTTATGATAGTTTGTTAGATTTTAGAAGCTGCATGACATTCTGGGTTCTGTGAGGTCTACTGGACTATTACAGAACTCGATCAAAATAGGCAACAACTTAAGGTTGTTGTTCTTATAAAAGGCCAATCGTAAAACCCATCATTTTAATCTACAAAGAGAATGATTTATTAAATTTGCGGATCGAGCGTAGTTCTGTGTGGGTGACCTCTTTAATGGAATGGTCGACCTCTTATTGATATGGTCGACCACTTTGCTGAAAGGTCAAACGTTCTGCTTATGATCCCCTTATGTACGGTCAACTGATCCTTGTTAAAGGTCAACTGCAATCTTCCATCATAATGGACGTGCTGGTGTAATCGGTCGACCACAACCACTTATCGGCCGCCTATTTTGTCCAAGTCAATGTGACTTGCAAGTCAACATTGGCATACCCGAGTTCTTATTGCATCAATCCGTGGAGCTCTCGAGAACATTCGATCTTGAGGTCTAAACTAGGAGCGACTAAATCTAGGAACTTTCAAAATGTGCGTTGATGCAGCATTTTCCTGTTCCTGAATGGGGGGTTTCAATTCTTTTAGGTTCACACTTTACTTCGATTAATGATTCATCCAATTTTATAGCACATATAGGGTAAATGTCCCCAATACCGCATCTTTTTGCTACAACTTCTTTAATATGGATAGATATTAGTAATTTTTTTTTCTTTCTAAATGGAGCTTTGAAACTTCATTTCATTGGTCTAAGTCCAACCAAACCAACCATAAATTATTATTTTGACAAACGCTGGCATTGGATTCCGATTTGATGGGGAAGTTTCATATAATGGCGATTCAAAATTACAAGTGAATAGGCCACTGAAGATTACAGAGGCAGTGGTTGATTTTTTTTTTTTTTCACTCTGGGTTGTGCTATGACAGGTCTGTTAGCTATGACCTTCTTTAGGAGATTCACCTCTCCCTTGACCTCGACAACCTATTCCCTCTTGCTAGCAAATTCGGCCCGAATTATCTCTCTCAATGTCTTCGTGGTGCTATTGAGGATGCCAAATAGCTCGTTGGAAAGTGACCCAAGCCTTAGCCTTCCTCCAACCTCAATGTGCATTGCCTCATGCATTACATGTCACAACATAGTTGCTCGATGCTTTCCCTCACGTCCACATAGTCTTGTCCTAAATCCTCTTTCGCGTAGGTGTGTTATGCTATCTTTGGCTTCGCCATCGTCAGATGCTCCTCTACTACCACCACCGGGTCATGAGATATTGATCGAGACTTGTACCTCTTGGCTTTGCTTGGGTTGAGATTCTTCACTTTATCCATCCCACGTTCATCATTATTAACTTCGAATCTAGGCACCATCTCATTGAAGATCTTCCCTCTTTGCAAGAATGAATCAGACTCTGATATCAAATGTCACAGATTAAACTCTTTTGTGTGACGTTAGCACTCGCACTTGCTCAAACTCACAAAACTAAAGGATTCCTCTCTTAAGATGTTATTGCTCTCAATAATTTTGCGTGATTATATATGAGGGTAAGTGCTCATTATATATAGACTTCACCTCCAAAACTTAGTTAAGAGCAACCTAATCCTACAATTAAAATTGAGTCGAAAATTCTTTATATAAATATCTACTATCTAAAATTTCGAAAAAATATATTAACAAGTCTTCATTTTCTTTCATGATCTTCCTTATTCTTTTCGGTCTTCTAGAATAATCCACAACTTTCTTGGGGCAAAAGCAAGGTTGTCAACCCGCGGGTTGACCCGGACCGGGTGGAGCTAGTGGGTCAACGGTCAATGGGTCACCCGTTTTAGCCCGAAAATATGGAAAGAGTCATTATATTGTACTTATCCTAATAAATTATATCAAATATCATCTAACATATGAGTTATAACATATAATATTCCACCAAAATAACATGTCGTACTTAGATCCAACATATAGTGAAAATTCACACACACTTATATAACATATATATTCAAATGTTCAACTTAGGATTCCAAAGATGGAGTTAGGCGAAAAGAAAACTTGGAAAATAGGCGCAGAAAAAATGACACAATTTGACCTCCAACCCGATACCTTATAGTGGTTAGGGGTGTTCAAATGGTTACCATGGTTATTACCAAACCAAATAAGGCTAGATTTCATTAACCATGGAATACAATATCATAACCAAACCGTCCAAACTAATACAACAACCAAATTAACCAAACTAAAGTTTAATCGGTTTTGTTAATTGGTTAACCAGATTAACAAATATAAAATCACATTATCATTAAGTGAGAAAATTTTCGGTTAATTTATCAATTCAAAATTTATATAATGAATAAAACATAACAATCAACACTTGGTTATAGTTGACCTTTAACATAAATACATGCAACTAAGACAATTATCTTACGGTTAGTATAGAAGTATTCACCTAGCAAAAATTTATCACAATGATATGAGTTAATGAATTGTTGTGTTTGTATGAATTGACTAGTCTTTTAGCAATTTTCATAGGTTGAAAAGGACCTTGCTTTCAAGTTTTCATCCAACATAATGTATGAGATTTATCCAAATTAGGCGTTCATATGTTGTGGTCTACACTCTACATATACAAATATACATTATAGGAATAATATCAAGCTTTATATTTTATGAAAAGAGATGAACGTTTAACTCTTGAGTGCTTATTCAAAGTATTAAGTATGTGTATATATTATGTACATGACTAATTATTTATCTGGTTAATTTGGTTTGACTGGTTAGGAGTGTATGAAACCAAACCAAACCACCTAAACCAAACAAGCTAAAAACTTTAACCAAACCAAACAAATTATCCAAATTAACCAAACCAAATTATCCAAATAGTACTGGTTAAAACGGTTACCATGGTAACCACACCGTTTGAACACACCTAATAGTGGTCGACCCAACAAATGCACGCGACTCATTTTTCTCATCGGGTCAAGGTCAAAGTGAGTCGACCCGCAGGTTGACAATATTGGGCAAAAGGTTGAAGCTCCACTGTGAAAATGACCACTGGATCGAAGGTCCAAAATTTCCAGAAACGAGATTTAAAATGTCATAAATTGAAGCAGGGCAAAATATCAATTTCTGGCTGGAAAATGAGAGAAAACGGCGGTCTCTTGATTTTTCCGTTACCGCCATTACTCCATCTCCGGAATACGAAATAATCGAAAACCCATTCCCTTTCTTCTCTTCCCCTTCCCAATAAAAAGAATAACCAATGTACTAGTAAGACTAGAAACCCTAGAGAAACCCGACTGACCTCGTCAAATCTATTCCAATTCAAAATTTTTCCAACCCCTCCAAATCGAATCCAAGATGAAGTCAAAGCGGAAATCATCTGTCAACGCCAATAATCAGCTGTCCCCAAATGACGCTGCGGCGGCTGGCGATCAGGGTCAAGCTGGCGGCGGCCTGGCGGGACCGGCAAGAGACGACGAGATTGCAGCGAATCGAGATGGGGATGACGACAAGCAGGAGAAACCCGAGGAGGTAGTAGTAGAAGATGGAGAAAGAGAAGGCGAAGAGGAAAATGATGACGAGGAAGAAGAAGAAGAAGCAGCTGCTGGAGAAGAAGCGGGGGCGGAGGATGAGGAGCAGGGTGGAGGTCAAGATGAACGGCCGAAGCTCGACGATGGTTTCTTTGAAATCGAAGCTATTCGGCGTAAACGGGTTCGCAAGGTCTAATTTCCCCCCCCTCATCTCCTCATGCATTACGATGTCACTAGCATTTTACAACCTGTTTATCAATTGGTGTTTGTTTGGATGCCATGTATGAGATTGTGGTTCGTAAATGCTTCCGTATGCGAAATGTTTTGTTTCCTAAGCGTGGTGTCAGTATCAGTTTGCATTGGTGATTTTGTTGGTTGTTTAATGTCTATTTAACTTGGTTGGGATGGTGGTGCTCATGGGTTGCGTCCAATTTTTTTGATAAAAGCAGGGTCAGCTTCAGTATCTCATTAAATGGTGAGCTCCCATTTCCCTTTCCTTAAGATCTTCTATATAATCCTACCTTATTTGCTGTAATATCTGCGGTCCTTGCATTGGCAAACTAATGAATGGTGGGTTGCAATTCTTTTCCCCCTTGCTTTCTGAAGGCGAGGCTGGCCAGAGACAGCCAACACGTGGGAGCCGCTAGAAAATTTGCAGTCTTGTTCTGATGTTATTGAGGCATTCGAGGAGAGGTGGGCTCCCTTCTCTCTCTGTCTTATGTTGCTCTCTCTTTGTTAGTGTTCATGGTCAGTAAATTTCTCAAAGGTGTTTGATTTTATCTATGGGAATCTAGAGGCTAACTCGTTTCTGTGAGTATAATTTTTCCTTTAAGTCTTTGAGTTTATATTTTACTTACAATGGGTCTCTTGCTTAAAGGATGCAATCTGGAAAATCTACTCGGAAAAGGAAACGCAAGTCTGCGGGCTCTAATTCGCAGGGCAAGAAGAAGCAGTCTCGTGCTTCATCTGCTAACAATCTAACAGGTGATGATGTTAGTGCAGCTGACAGAAGTCTGCCCTCCACTTCTCTGAACACATCCAGCCTTGCAAGTCTTAGAGCGCACACTCATGAAGAAGATAATGATGAAAATGGCACCAATAGCCATGTTGCCACTCGAGCAGGCGAGAATGGGTGCACTAGCCGCCCTAGAAATGTCTTGAGTGTGAAGGATGATACTGAATATGATCCAAAGCTTAGTGAGCTGAGAGGAACAGCACCATCAAGTGATGTTAACGGAGACAAGATTTCTGTACAGTTAATTGATTCCAAGGCTCTTGAAGTTGTTGAGAATGGGTCGTCTCTCAAGGTTGATTCTGTAGACCCTGTTCAAACCAACCGTCGAATAGGTGCTAGGAGAAGGAAATCAGGGTCTGTGAAGAGATTTGAAAAAGATCCAGCCTCTTTTCAAGCTCCTCCAGTTGATAATCCAGTATGTAACATTTCTCTCAGCTGTGAAGGTGAGATGACTGAAGGATCCAAAATCATCAAGATTCTCAAGCCGCTCAGCTATTCATCTACTTCATTTGACAACATTCAGGATGTGCTGGTAACTTTTGCTGCAATGAGGTTGGTCCTCAACTATGTTTGAGATTAGTTTTCCATGGAAATATTTTAGGACGTCTATATAGGCTTGGGTCCTCAACCATTAAATAGTTAGGTGTAGGTTTGGGTTGTCTGGCACCAGTCATATGGAAGAAGACCACAGTTCTTCACAGAATCACATGAGCTTTATTTTGTATTTAAAAAAAGAAACAGAATCATATAGGCTTCTAAAATAGAGAATTGGCTGCATGCATGATGATTATTAGCACTTTTCATTCCTTGTCTTCTCCCGAGATTTTCCCTGTGATGTTTGAAACGTCCAATCTATTTGCTATATTCTTCTTTTAAAGTTTGCAAAGCTAAACACCCCAAGGAATGTGCATGCATGGAACCCTTTGCGTCTTGCTTTGCTTACCTGACCCTCATTGGAGTAACATGAAAAGAACCAAGTTTGAAACTTAAGATTTCTGTGTATTGTTGAAACATTAGGCACACTAGCTACCGGCTCAAAGTCTGCCCGTCTTTCTTCTTTTAATTTGGCTGAAAGATGGGTTTATATTATTTTGGCAGGTCTGATGGCAAGGAAGTATTCGTGGATAACAAATTTTTGAAGGCTAATGATCCACTGCTGGTAATTCACATTTCATTGAATTGTCTTCTCTGCGGCTAGTTAAGATAAGTGATGGCTTCATGTGATGCTGTACTGAAACCCCTTCTATCTCTCCTTGCAGTTGATCAATTATTATGAGAAGCATCTCAAGTATAGTACATGAAGGGGAAGGAGGGGGAAATTTGAAGTCAATCTCAAATATGATATGCCTTCAGTATCTATCATTTTGTTTATAAATCTGTACCCTCAGGAGAACTATGCAGGATAACCAAAACAGCTTTATTTTACCTAGCTCTATAATGTGAAGTGATGATATATTAACTCTGGTATCAATGTCTATGTTGTTATCAAGGCCTTTATCTTTCTATCTCTTCGTCTGCATCATGAATGAATTATTAAGATGAAGGGAATAAGGAATCTAGCCCTATTTGTCCCTTTTTCCTCCATTCAGCAGTAAAATAAGATTCTGTACGGTAAACACCTTCTGATAGTGACCTTGGACTCCCATTAGTTTGTTTCATTAGCCATGGAGGTAAGATTCGTTGTTTTTTTTTTGGTTTTTAGGAGTCCAAACTATGTATTAATTATCATGTTGCCAGAATTTCAGATTGTCATTTCAACTTGCAGCAAACATTGCCTCCTTTGCCTCCCCACTCCCTTCCCTCCTTCTGTCTGTGGATATCCTGAAACAGGGAGTGAAATGAGCAGCAGCAGCAGCGGTCCGACACCAGTGCTACCTTTGCTGCTGGTGGGAGCCCCGGGAGTAGTGATGGCAATGGGTCGGGTTGGGGCGGGTTTTGTTAAAACCAAACCCATGGGTTTATCCGCCAAAAAAATCCGGGGTAAAATTCGTTGGGTTTGAAAAACTCAAACCCAATCCGCTGGGTATCCGCGGGTTCATGGATACCCGTGGGTTTTTGTGGTAAAAATTTACGATAACAAGTTTCTTTCAAAATAAAAGTTTTAACATTAATTTTCTCATACAAATTAATCATACAAAAAATACCAATCTAGAGCATACAAGCAAACCGCAAATGATCAATACAAATTGTTCAAAATTAAAGATAAACATATATAAACAATAAGATTAATTGAAAGCTTCTTCCTCGTCAACTAAGTTTCTTCACTCTCCACTTCATAATATCAACTTCATTCTAAACAATTAGAAAGAACAAATTATACATATCTCCACAAACATATAAAATATTAGTTATTTAAGGAAGATATATTATTTAGAATATTAAATATACCGGGAAAGTAATTATATGTGTGTGGGCGGGTACCCATGGGGCGGGTTTATCTAAACCTGAATCCAACCGAACCCGGTGAATAGTGTAGCGAGTTTAAACTTGAACTCGGCCCAAAACCCGTCAACACGGGTTTTACCCGCGTTGACCGGATTGGGTCGGGTGGATACCCGTGGGTTCGGGTTTTGTTGCCATCCCTACCTGGGAGTGGTGATTCTTGCTCCGACGCTCATGACAGCCTCGGATGTGTTGCTGTTTCTGCTTCTGCCCAGCAGCAGTGGTGAGAGCTCTGGTCTGTCACCTTCGGTCTTGATGGCGGTTCCCATTTCTCTGGTACTGTTTATGCATTTGATCTCGTGGTGGCTGCCCATATTATATTTGGAGTCTGCCGCGCCGGGAGATGGCAGCGCCAAGGGTCACCTGCGTATGGCGATGATAGCGAGAGTTATACCTTGGGAGCATTGATTCTGATACTCTTCTTCTTTGTCTTGTATGGCCTCTTGAGCTGGTAAACATGCCTTACAAAACAAGATACAAAATGGAAGCAGGGGAGGCGGTTATGTTACTGTGTGGACGACTATCGCCGGCAAATTTTGGGTAGGATGACGACGAGATGGATCATTATAAAAGAACGCCACATTTTTATAAGCGAGTTGGGGTTTTAAGTGAAATCATTGTTGGCTATGATGGAACTACTTTCATTGTGTTAAATTGTAATTGATGCATCTGTTGTAATTGCAAGTTGAGAAATGATGTTTTTTTTTATATTATGAAATTAATGAAGAACGATCTCCTGAATAAGACTAATGACCATTTTATTAATAATTGTTGGGTTGTATACAACGAAAAACAATTGAGTTGCAAAATAGGTGCTACGTATATTTTAACAAACCTTTCATAATATAAAAATTCGTTTTAGCTCGCTGCGAAAATGATATGATTGTGTACCCTATGAATTTAGTTTTCCGAGGGAATCAACTCTGTATACATTCTCAATATTCCTTGTTCTGTTGATGTTTTCTACCAATTACCAAACTTGAAGCTTGGTTGTGGATGAGTGCTAGGTGGTGAGTAGTTAGAATTTCATGGAAGTTAATTAGTTACCTTATCTTTGTGCCTGGGTTATAACGATGGCCGGCAACATTTGGGGAGCATGCTGGATGGACAGGACTCCAACGGCAAGACATGCTTCTTTCTTCATCAAAATTATGCTTGGTTTCTACAACCCAGAAAAATTAAAATTATGCTTGGTTCATATATAACTCTCTAGGGTGTTCCTTGTTTGGTAGTTACTTGTCAGTTTAGTTTGGTAACCTATTGAGTGCCCTTCCTAATCTTATCTTATCGCAATGATTTTTCATTACATCTACACAATAAATAAAAATCAAATGAGAAAACTTGAAGCCCCATTTCAAATTTCCTGCATCCAGAGTGAAAACAGGAAGGATATTTTGGACTTCACAATTACTTTTTTTATTCTAGGGATGACAATGGGTCGGGTCGGGGACGGATAGTGCATATCCGTTACCCTACCCAAAGTAGTTCGGGTTTTACCCATACCCATACCCACATGTGAAACGGGTACAAAAATAAAACCATGCCCATACTCGTTCGGGTTTCGGGTATCCACGGTTATTCATGGATAATAATTTCTCTTTCTAACTCCAACCAATATGTTAACATTCACACGTATTCTCACATTACGTAAGAGGAAAAGTACGACAATTGTTCACTAGAATGAAGAAAATTAACTAAAACAACACAATTTCATGAAAATTTTATATTTATATGCTACATATAAAATATGTTAGAGAACAATAATAATTATTTCTAGAGAAAATACACATGCATGCATATAATCGTGCGGGTTCGGGTTGGATAGTTAGAAACCCATGCCCACCCATTACCCGCAATATTTGGGTTCGGGTTTTACCCGTACCCACTAAATGTCCTTCGGGTTCGGGTTTTACCCTACCCGATTAGGCCGGATTCGGGTGGATATCCACGGTTACAGATATTTTTGCCATCCCTATTTTATTCATGAAAAAGATACTTACTAGGATTCAAACCATGACCACTTTAAAGAAAAGTAAATATCATAACCAATCACACTAAGTACATTTATTGTATTTTTTTAAATTAAAAACATATAATCGCAGAGAGGAAAAAACCCTTCCCCCATTTTCAAAGTCCCTGCTCCAGGAGCGTTTGTAGGAAGGGTAGAATAGGGAGTGTCAATTTTTTTCTTTTTCCTCCGTTGAACGGGCCAACTTACCGTACACATGCGGATTTAAACAAGTCCAGGAGTGTCAATTTTTTTCTTTAAGTCCTTTTATTTCTCCGTGGTGGTAAAATATATATGAAAAGGCAAAAACAATACTCCTTTTTATTGCTAAAAAAAATTAACAATAAACTAATGCATGGATTCTAATGGGCTAACCGCTAATCATAAAATAAAAGAGTTGAATGGGATTGACCTACACGGGATTTGCCCATCAAGTAAAATAAATGAACATCATGGGGTTTCCATTCTAAAACAAGCTATTTTCTCTAGCATAATATATATTAGGTTAAATACACTTGTATACCCAAAACTTTCACGGTTGTGCCAATAATATCCAAATTTCCCGAAATACCACTTATATCCAATTCCTTCACATTCTTTAACGGTGTTTTTGGATATACAAGTGTATTTAACCAAAAATATATTGGGAATTCGATAGATTTGGCAAAGAACAACTTCAAAATATGGATATAAGTGGTATTCCGAGAAATTTGGATATTATTGACACAATCGTGAAAGTTTTGGATATACAAGTGTATTAAACCTATATATTATGCTATTATTTTATATCTTAGTGTCTAAAATATAATGTATTTTAAAGTTATTCAATGATTCAACCTCGACCAACCCAATTAGTCCAATTTTTATCATTTCAAATATATATTATGTAATTATTTGATATCATAATGATTAAATTATAGTGTATATTATAGGGAATCGTTTGGTATTTGTTATTAAAAAACTAAACAGAAAGATCTATTTGGTTATTTTTAACATTAAAACGATCCTAAACATTTTCAGTTTCCTTTCGAAATTCTATAGTTTTATTCCCGAATCAGTGATGTGCAAATGGTGAATTGCAGTCATCTCTTTTCTTTCATTATTTTTTATTTTCAAATAGAAAGTTTAAAAGTAAATAATAATTAGAGTTTGGCATGGGTCGGTCAAACAAGCTGAATTTCAAGTTTTGGCCCGTTTTGATCAAGTCTAATTTATAATCACATGATTCCCTCATACCCGATAAAAATCTCAATCCAAACCAGTTTGGCAAGTGAGTCCGTGTTTACTACCATTTTCTAGGGATACAGGAACGATGGTTCTTATCCAAATCGTGTTGCTCATTCTTGATTTCTTTAGATTTTATCATGGTTTGGCAAAAAACCAGAAAGCACAATGATGACAAGATGAAAGTTTTATAAAGCAAATTAATCGGCCAACGGGCCGAGTAAAAACTAGCAACGATTGTGAGATGCTGATTTCCCGAAAACCGGCGGGATAGCCGATTTTTTATTCGATTTTCTGGAATTCGGTTTCTATAAAACTTACTCCATCTCATCATATTACCAGAAACAATATTGTTTCACAAGGTAACAGGTATTTGATTTTGGTTCATAAGGCTGATTTTTGATTCGTTACATCATTCATGTCTCTTTCCTACTAAAATTCACTATTTTTATCACGTGTTTCCCAAAAAAAAAACTATACAACAATAAGCTATACACCCCATTACATTATCAAATTTCATACCTCATCTTCCTCCGACCAAATTGTCGGGGCCCACGCTAGTATATTGGGAAACTGGGACAATTACAGATAGAGGTGACAATTTTCAATCCAATCCATCAACCCATTAAAAATATCCACCTAATCAAATTCATTTAAATCCAATCCATTTGATCCAAATCCAATTGGATTGGTGGATTCAAGGATTGATCCATGGATCCAAATGGCAAATTACGGTTTGGTACCTATACTTTTTATATTTTACATTTTGGTACCCACAATTTAATTTTTTATACGAAAAATATCATTGAAAAATTATGATTTGGTGCCTAAAATTTTCCATTATGACATTTTAGTACCTAAACTTTTTACATTTTTACATATTGGTCATAGGTTGACGATGTCATTTGGATTCATGGATAATCCACCAATCCACTTGATCCAATCCATGAATCCACCAATCCATTGGATCCAATCCATTTGATCCATGGATCCACCAATCCATGGATCAATCCATTTGCCACCTCTAATCACAGTAGAATAGTTCCAAGCGCACCGCTTATAACGAATCATGATGATATATATTTCATATTTTGAAAATATTATAGAATACATTCATTGTCCAAACTAGCACACAAATCTTATTCCATGTATGTACGCATCATTTAGCCACTCACACCGTTCATCCGATTTCGAAGATTGTTCTTGATATATTTCATGAATGAAATAATTTATCCAAACTTGTTGCAACAGGGCGAAACAATTATATTGTCAACTTGAGAAGCAAATCAACATATATGGATACAGTTTGTCTTTATTTGTTTTCATCGTGTTTTTTCTAACTTATCAACCCTTATAAGTCATTGAATATGTTATTGAATGGTAGATCATAAGTATATGAATTTAATTGATGATCAAGAAGTTTCGTAAGATTTCTTATTAAGATATTTAATATTAGATTTTGATAGTTATTTTAAATTAAAGTGTATCCATATGAAATCATACAATTTATCCCGTGAAAATCGTAAGATAGTAAAATTATGGATTGACCAGATCGGGATTCAAATCTACAATTATCAAACCTCCAGAAATCTAGAAAATAAGGCGATTCAGTCTTGCAAACAACTCCACCACTGATATCGACAAGTAATTATGAACAGTGGGTTATGCAGCAACACTCATTCAAGAGAGATAATAGTAACTTTGCAGCTGTTTGAATATTGGATAATCTAGAAAATAAGGCGAGTGAAGTCTCTTTCTTCGTATCAGCAGATTTCGATATCGAGCTAAATCACATATAGAACAACCACTCTTAATATATGCGGATGAATATGATTTCTTTTTCTAGGGTAGTCTAAAGATAACAAGTGAAAACTGATATTTCATACCCAGGACTTCGAGGAAGCATAGCCAACATTCAACCGTACGTGTGGCTTTGTGAGGAACGAAGGCCATGAAAAGGACCTTTCTGGTCGGGTGAAGGAAAGGGTGAACTAGGTGAACCAACCAACTATAGTAAAACTTATATGAATTATACACGATAAATTAATTATTAAGTATAAATTAATTATTTCTCAGATTTCGACTTGGGTCAATGAAAAAAGATGAATAGATGTAAAAAAATAACAAGAACCAATAACATGTATTTTCAATTTAATAAATTAGTAATTATAAAGTTTTAAAAATGCAATTCATCAAGAAATTTACAATTTGATTAGGATATTCTAGAAAAATAAGAATTTATAATTGTTTGTTTCTTCTTTGAAGTTCAAGTCAAATAGAAGTTCATCCTTTAACTTTCCTTATTGTACTCAAAATCTCCGGTGTCGTCTTTTTTAATTGCAACAACAAGTAGTTTTGAAGAGTCGATGTGGCTTTAAGCGTTTTCTTTCACGTGACCGGTTCCAAAAGTGTTAAATTGTCATCTCCTTCGGCATTGGTCGGACTCCTAATGACGTCAGCCACAATTTCTTCTAAACTACTGTGCAAGCAATGTAAGGAGTTTGGCCATTGTGAAGGGAAGGGTAAAGAATGCAAAGAAGTGCAGGTTGTCACTGGCAGGGAGTTAGTCAGGGCGGAGGCAATGACGAATGAGGTTGTTTGGGTTGCAAAGGCTAAAGCCAGTTTACCAGTTGCTAATGGGGGAGGGTCAGTTCAAGGAGAGTGTTCCACAACTGAAGGAGGCCCAGGTCCAGTAGTTGGCTCAATGGTAAGAGATGATGAGACTGCTAAGTCAACTGAAGGAGGTCCAGTTCTAGTAGCTGGCTCAACTATTGGAGAGAAGGAGGCTTCAAGAGCTGAAGGAGGTCTGGTGCAAGTAAATGGCTCACCTGTTGGAAAGACTAATCCACAAGAAGAAGGATCTGCTTTAAATGGTTCACGTTCGGAAATTTGTCTTGAAGCTGGCTCACAGACTGGCAGGCTGGTAGTTGCTCATAGTGGTACACCAACAAGTTCTAATTCTGGGTCTGGTAAGCTAATTGATGAGGATGGCTTCCAGCTTGTTACAAGGAAGGGGAAAGGCATTATGTATGACACTGCTCTTAAGATACCTGCTTCTGCTGTTCAAGCAAGAGTTCCCCACTTCCCCTTAATGCTCAAGGTCAGGCTTTGGTTGTCCGGGGTCCTCCTAAGAAGGGGATGGGAAGAAAACATAAATGAAGTTTTTGAGTTGGAATCTCAGGGGATTTAATGCCCCTGAGAAGCATAGATATATTAGTAGGCAGTTAATAAAGTTGAATATTTATTTTGTAGCTATATTAGAAACTAGAGTTTTGGAAAAGAATGCAGAGGATATCATCCAACGTCATTTTAGTAACTGGAAGCACTTAGATAACTATGTTCATTCAGCTTCAGGGAGGGTTTGGCTTATTTGGAAGCCCAATCTGACGGTTCAGCTAGTTAAAATGGGGGAGCATTTCATTCAAGTCACGCTAGAAGGGCCAATCAATTGCACTATCACAGCTATATACAGCCCAAATAAAGCGACAGAAAGGTTTGACTTATATTCTGAATTGTTGCACTGGAAAGTTGTGGGGGGTTCTGGTGTCTATATGGGTGATTTCAATGCTATTATTGATGTTTCAGAGGCCTCAAACGCTACACTCATGACTCAGGGAGGTCTGGATTTCAGGGAATGGGTCACGAAAATGTGTTTGATTGATCATAAGGTCCTTGGTTCATCATTCACCTGGTGGAACAAGCAATCAACAAATCCAATTGCGAAGAGACTCGATCGTTTCCTTGTGAATGAGGAATGGTTCCTATCCTTTCCTCAGAGTGTGGCCAGAAATTTGGCCCCCGGGGTATCTGATCATTGTGGTCTGGTTTTAGACTCGGAGCCAAAGTTAGGTTCACTCCCGAAGCCTTTTTAAGTATTTCAAGTATTGGCAGAAACATCCTCAGTATTGGAATCTACTGGAAGAAGCGTGGAGTGATGGAGCTAGGGGTCTTCCCTATCAAAGATTCTACTACAAATTAAAGCAATTCAAGACCAAATTAAAGCAGTTAAACCGCTCGGAATATTCTGATATATCTGAGAGAGCACGAGCAGCAGAAAGAGCACTTGAACAACATCAACAGTTGGTTCTTCAGGATCCAACAACAGATAATGTGGAAAAAGAGGCTGAATTGGCAGCCTTGTGTCATGATATTCAGCTGGCAGAAGAGAGTTTTTTCAAGCAGAAATCCAGGGTAAGAAGCATACAGGAAGGTGATGCAAATACTGCTTATTTCCATGCCATGGTGAGAATCCAAAATCATAACCAAACCATTATGAAGCTGGTAAGAGATGATAATACAGAAGTGACAGAGGTCAAGGAAATGAGGGAGGTAGCTGTCGCATTCTATAAAAGAATTTTGGGGGAGGTTTATAAGGAAGTTCAGTATCACCCTGTAAACTATTTTTCAGCAGCAGCTCAAGCAGAGGTTAGATCCAGAGGGTGTCCAAGTATTGTTAGCACCAGTTACTAGGGAGGAGATCAGGGAAGTTTTTAAGAAGATGCCAAATGATAAAGCCCCTGGTCTAGATGGCTTTACTGCTGAGTTTTACAAGTTAGATTGGGCTGTAATTGGGAAGCTGGTGGAAGAAGTGGTGCTGGATTTCTTTCAAACAGGAGTGATGCCACAGCAGGTGAACTCTACAATCCTTTCTCTAATACCTAAAGTGATAATTGCTGATAGAATGAAAGATTTTAGACCCATCTCCTGCTGTAATGTATTATATAAGGGTATATCAAAGCTTCTATCAAATAGACTAGCTGCAGTACTCCCTCAGGTTATAGGCAAATCACAGTCTGCATTTATTAAAGGAAGGTTAATTAGTGACAACATATTGATGGCTAGTGAGTTAGTGAAGGACTATCATAAGAAGAATACTACATCGAGATGTGTCTTGAAAATAGACTTAATGAAAGCATTTGACTCGGTCAATTGGTCTTTCCTGATTAATATGCTTCTAGCTATGGGATTCCCTGAATCTTATGTTAGACTTATTGAAGCTTGTATCACTAAGCCAAAGCTCAGTGTATCTCTTAATGGTGGTCTCTGTGGCTACTTCTCTGCTGGCAAAGGTCTAAGACAAGGGGACCCCCTCTCCCCATACTTATTCACAGTGACAATGGAGTATTTTTCGTGTTTAATTCACATGGCAGTAATTGATAACCAAGTCCCCTATCACCCACGTTGTAAAGCACTAGGAATCACTCATTTGTGTTTTGCAGATGATCTCCTAGTGTTTACAAATAGGTTGATAAGGGGAGTGGTTGGCATAAACAGAGTGCTTACACAATTCTATGTGGATTCTGGTCTTTGTTGCAATCCTGCTAAATGCCAGTTGTTCTGCTGTGGAACCCCTGAAGAGGAACAACAATGGATCTCAACCTTTACTGGATTTCCACTTGGCAGTCTTCCTGTCCGTTATCTTGGTGTCCCACTCATATCAGGCAAACTTACCTCTGCTTACTGCTCAGTGCTAGTAGATAAGATAACAAAGAGGATTAGAACATGGCAAGCAAAAAAACTCAGTTATGCAGGTAGATTACAACTAGTATCTTCTGTCATTACTAGTATCATGCAATACTGGATGGCTTTATTCTTGCTACCCCAAAATCTTTTAAAAGAGATAGAGAATATATGCAATCAGTTTTTGTGGGGTGTGGGAAGTCGAAGTTTGAGGAAGAAGGCACTGGTAGCCTGGAAGTATGTTGCTCTGCCAAAAAATGAGGGGGGGGGGGGGATTGGGGATAAGAGATTTTAGAAAGTGGAACCAAGCATGTGTAATTCGTCATGTCTGGAATATGCTGGCTGAATCTGGTTCTTTATGGGTTGCGTGGGTGAAAAAATATCGTCTGAAAAGTAGGGTGAGAGTTCAATCCCATGTCTCTGGCAGTGGCGTGACACTTGCTTGGGATGGTAGGGTACTGCCAAAATATTATGTAACACTGGTCCGAAAATCTATCAGGGATCCTCAGGGGTTAGTTGAATGGTATAAGGCAGTTTGGGGGAAACCATATAGCCCGAAACATAGCCTGTTGTTATGGCTTGTGATTCTTAATCGTATCTCCACAAAGGATAAATTGCAGAGTTGGGGGTTGACTGATGATGTTTCGTGTGGTTTGTGTCCAGGAGGGCTTGAGACAAGAGATCATCTATTCTCGGACTGCTCGTACAACAGAAGTGTTTTTTGTGCTGTGTTGTCTCGGTTTTGCAGATTCCCAGGGTTCTCTTCATGGCAGGATCATCTGCAATGGGCAGTCAGGCAGTGGACCGGTGGTACTGGAGGAAAGAGTGAAGGTCGGTTGAGGTGGTCAATGTGTGTTAGCTATATATGGCGAGAACGCTGTGATCGTGCTCACGATGCAGCGATTTGTTCCCCAAGTAAGATAGCAGGCAGAATTGAAGACGAGGTGAAGTGGATTCTCGCGGCCAAGTCTCCCTGAAAAGAGCTGATATACTGTATAGATAGGTTTTATATCTGAGTTGATGTAAAGGGCTGATAGGTACTTGTTGTTTGCTTTGAGAATGGGTTTTTGCAGTTGCAAACCCTAGTGCTTAATGAAATTTTGATTAACCATAAATATATATATGCATCATTTTCACAACAACTGGCTTAATTATATCCATCTTAATATGATAAACCATATGATAATCATATCCTCAAGTTCATTAACGTCTTTTCCAAAATTCATTTTACTTGAGGGGACATGTTCCATTATTGAACTCGAGTTAACAAGTTTTATAAAATATTCAATCTCTCTCAATAAATCGAATAATTGACATAGACTAATGTAACCAAGGCTTGCTCATCGTTTGTGATGAGTGTTATACATCAGTCATCGTTGCGCAAATGCTAAACTCGTGTTGATGGAAGGAACCAAAGAGGGAGAGGATGGCAGTGGGGATGATGATGAACAATCTTTTTATTTTTTTATTTTTATAATCATGATGATGAAAAAATCTTGAGGCAAAAGGTTAATGAGTGGATTCATGGAACTATAGTTATTATTACTTATTAGTATTTCATTTTCTTTCATGGAGCTACTACATGTCATGTAGGTCCCGGTTAGGATTACGTCTTTCATTATTAGTGCTTTAATTATTGTTTGCTTTAATTGTTTTCTCACTTGTTTAACAAGGGGAAGTTGCCGGCCGGACTTGGGGTACGTAATTAAGGGTAAGGGATTTTGGCCCTATAAATATGTACATCTTCCTCATCAGTACGTATCAAGCAATGAACAAGTATTATTTTCTCGTACTACTCAACTCCAGATTCGATAACCCTTATTTTTTCGTTGTTCCGTTACTAACAAGAAGAGGATCTTTCGGTCGTAAGTCGAGAAAACAATGAGCAGCAGCAGCAGGGGGCCATCACCTATGGTGCCTTTACTTGTAGTTGGAGCCCTGGGAATGGTGATTCTTGGTCCTATACCCATGACTGCCATCGCCCTCTTGCTCTCGTGGTGTCTGCCAATTTTTGGGTCATCGTCGTCGTCGTCGGAGTATGACGGGGAAGGGTACACTTTGGGAGCATTGATTCTGATTCTCTTCTTCTTTGTGTTGTATGCTCTCTTGAGAGGTGATGGTAATTAGCCGTGAGGAACTCCAATTAATATTAATGGGGTGGTGGTTTTGCATGCTGCTTTACCACTTTTGCGTGTTCCCTTGTTTTCCGAGCTTCAAAGGTTGTTTGTAGAAGCTCTTCTCTGGCGATGAGAGGTTGAACCTGATGGCTGATGGGAGTTACTGTAATGTAAATAGGGTAAACTTTGTTTAGGTTTTTCTGTTCCCTGTATTATCTGTAAGGGGTGATAGTATTTTATGTCTTGTTCATAAACTATGTCTTGTTCATAAACGTGCTCCTACATGATATTTTTGAACTAATATGTTCTCTGACTATGAACATGTTTTCTTCTATGAAAGTTTTCGTACCATTTGGACCATCTGGCTGTACGTGGGCACCGGGCCGTGCCGTCCACGGGCTAGCATGGCAGAGCACGGGCACGAAATACACGGGCCAGCCCGGCACGAGCACGAATAATTTATGGGCCGTGCCGGGCCTAAACTTTATGGGCACGGGCACGACACGGTATATAAGTGGGCCGTGTCGGGCCTAATATTTTCGAGACTTTATTGAGTATAAGAACGGACATGGCACGAAAATAATATTTATTTGATAGAAAATAAATATAAAAAGAATTATAGGTTCAAATATTACAAAACAAAAGAAGAAAATAATTATTTGTTGTTGTTAGAAGTGTCATAAAGATATATTCGTAATTACTAACATAAGTAAAAATGGACAAAGAATTAAAGAAAGCCAAATCACACTCGCTATACTTCCAATTTTTTTTCTCCCCTTATTTGTTACTTTTCTCAAACATTATCGGTTAATAGTTAATACTATATTCCACCGTCCAATTTTCACCTTCCTTTTCATTCTCTCTTTTGTTTTCGTCCTTTTCATTAAACACAAATACGAGCACGACACGAGCACGAATAGGCACGGCACGATTCGAACCGTGCCCGGGTCTGGGCCGGGCCTAACAAAGTTAACAAATGGGCTTGCATGGCACGACACAAAAACTGACGAGTCGTGCCAAGCACGACACGAAATAAATGAGCCCAAAACGTGCTCGTGACGTGCCGGCCCAAGCACGACCCAACACCCATCTACACATCTGTCACATAGCCTATAAATCCCTCAAATATATTACTCGAAGGAATAATAGTACTTTATATTGTGTACTAGGTTAACAAACATCATTTTTTGTTATTGGAAAAACATGCCTTCAAGTCTTTCAAATCCCATCACTCAGATAGTGAAGATCTTGTTTTTTTGAAAAACAGTCGCGAGGTTGAGGTGGCCCGACTTTCTAAATTCTTCTTAAAAGTAAAGCACGATGTAACATCCCGTTTCGGAGAAATCCATATTTCGATCGCTAGAGACTACTCGATTAAATTGAGTGTGTTGATAATATTTCGATAGAAATCGGAATATCAATCGACCTGATAAGTATTCTATCATACACCAGACATATATTGGGGTATGTCGTACACCAGTAATCTCCAGCGTCCACGTCTATCTCAACGACCAACATTAATGTGGGTTCATTTTTATGAGATTCAAAAATAAATTACTTAATTTATGCTGGCCGTTGAGATGGATGCGGATGGTGGAGATTGCTTGGTGTACGACATACACCATGTTTTGTCTGGTGTACGATAAAACCATCCTATATTAAAAGAAAAAAATACAAGATAAATAATGGCAAAAGCAGTCGGAACCTCTTTGCCATTATTTATACACATATACATCCCTTCCCCATGTACTAGGGCTGACTATTTGGTTCGGGACCGGATGTAAAACCAGAAACCGGATCGTATAACCGGGACCGAATTTAAAACAATCCAATCCCGTCTTTGGTCCTAGAATTAGTAAAAAACCCGGACCAATCTAATCCTGATTAAAACCGTGTTAAAACCGAAAGACCGGACAACTCAAAAACTGACCCAAAAACAAAGCGCGCCCAGACCTAAGGGCAAAACCCACCAGGACCAAGAGAGTCCACCACACCCCAGTCCTCCTTGAGCCCACTAACCCTAGGCCCAACCTTAGTCTACCCACCCCTTTTGTTCTGTAGGGTTATGCAGTGGCGTTGTGGCGGATCGCCTCCACTCCAATCTATTACCCTCCATTTGTCCATCACCTCCAATCCATTTCCGTTCTTTGGGAATCCCAAACGGCCATCGAATCTTAACCCTAAAAATCAATAGGCGAGACTACGACTGCGCATCCACTCTTTCCTCCGCTTCGACCCAGCGACGACGACTGCGCCTCCACTCCGACCCAGCAACCGCGACGTGACCCGACCTTTGCTCTACCATAACTCGTTACCCTCCATCACATCGACCCCCGCCTCCGTCATAGCGACTACTCTTTCAACGGCTTCGCTACAGCGACCGCTCCGCCACATCTTCAGCCTCCGCTCCATCAACAGCTCGTCGTCCTCTGTTCACAGCTCGTCGTGCTCCATCCCAGGTCGCCACCCTTCGCCGACCAGCTGGCAGCAGCCGCCGAACTCTAAAAAGTCGATAAGCAGGCATCAGTCGCCTAGTTCGATGAAAAACTCTGAAAATGGAGGAGAGCAACGGCCAGGTCAAAACCGGATTGGAACCGGACTGGGTTAAAACCAGACTGTACACAATCCAATTTTTGGTCCCCATATTTCCAAAATAACGGGACTAGGATCGGGTCAATTTTGGCCAGTTTAACCGGACTGGACCGGATAGCCACCCATACCTTGTACCATCTACATCTACATAATAAATAAAAGCCAAATGAGAAAACTTGAAGATCCAGAGTGAAAGTAGAAAGGGTAGATTCGTCTTCACAGTCATTTATTATTTTCTTATTTACAAAAAAATACATCAGTAATGAGATTTGAACAGTGGTCTCTTCAAACAAAGATATGAAACATAACCATTTACAATAAACACATTTGTGTGAGCTTCTTCAATTAAAAACATACAGGATGTTTAAGTCTGAAAAATTATAGGACTTTTCCACCGTGGTGAGCAACCAAAATTTCATTGATTCAAATATTGCATATCGAGTTGCACTCTTGAATGAGTAGAAGCGATGTAAAATTTATAACATAGACTTAATTGTTATAACTACCATAAAGTAACGATATTTTTAAACACAATACTTTTGAGTGAATATAGGGCACATGAGTCTTTAAGAGACGGGTAAATATGGAAAGGTTGAGTGATGTTGGTTTGTCGAACGCGGATGGAAAAGCCACTACTAATGTAAACGGGCCCAAATAGTGTCCCGACCCACTAAACGCTTAACCATCGCCGTCTCTCCGAACTTCCCATCAGACTCAACAACCGGCTAACCTCCTCTACCTCTATTGTTGCGCCAGAGCAATTTTTAGAGGGATAAATATGGAAAGATTGAGTGTTGTTGGTTTGCACAATGCTGATAGAAAATGCGCTACTAATGTAAACGAGCCCAAATAGTGTTCGACCCACTAAACGTTCAACCACCCCGGTTACTTTCGTTACACCTAATATAATAGTGAAATGGGAAAGGTGCTTCCCCATTACAAAATTCTTGTATCCATAGCAAAAGTAAAAAGGGTAGGTTCGTCTTCATAGTCATTTATTATTTTTCTTATTTACAGGAAAAATACATAAGTGATGGGATTTGATTTGTGATCTCTTTGAGCAAAGGCAAGAAACATAACCAGTTACACTAATCGAATTTGTTTAAACTTTTTAAACTAAAACCATACAAGAAGGTTAAATATGAAAAATCATAGGAATTTCCATCACAATTAGCTAAGCTACTAACTCTCCCCTAAATTTTCTTTTAGTATTTGATACTTTGTTTATTTTAATTCGATTTCTATTTATCTTATAAAAGAAGAATAATTTTAAAATCGTGAGCCTAATGTCATTGATGCAAATATTGCACGTCGAATTGCAGTATTGAATGTGTAGAAGCGAAGCAGAATTCTTGACATAAACTTACATAATATAACTACCAAAAGCAACAATATTTTTGAATATAGAAGTTTTGAGTGAATATGAGACACATGTGTTTTTAAGAGAGGGATAAATATGGAAAGGTTGAGTGATGTTGGTTTGTCGAATGCGGATTGCAAAGGTGCAACAAATGTAAACGAGTTTAAATGGTGTCCCGACCTACTAAACGATCAACCATCACCGTCTCTCCAAACCTTCTCACCAGACTCAACAACCGCCTAACCTTCTCTACCTATATTGTTACGCAAAGAAACTTTTGGAGGGGTAAATATGGAAAGGTTCTTGCTTTGAGAGCTGACTGATGGGTTATTTAGCTTCTTTGACAGTAATGTGTGATCTCTTAACATCAGTTCATTTGGTTGATCTTCTAGGTTGACTTTTGAGTTGATTAAATATAAACAGTGTCTGGACTCCCGGCCTACTAAAAGCTCAACCATCGTCATCCCTCCAAACCTTCCCATTGGACTCGACCACCCCCTAACCTCCTCCACCTATATTACGCAAAGCAATTTTTGGAGGGGTAAATATGGAAAGGTCGAGTGTTCTTGCTTGGAGAGCTGACTAATGGGTTATTTAGTTTCTCTAACAGTAATGTGTGATCTCTTAAGTCTTAATATCTGTTTATTTGGTTAATCTTCTAGATTGACTTTTGAGTTTATTAAAGATAAATAGCTATACTTTTTTGTTGCTTTTGTTATGATACTCCTTTTTAGTATCATCATTTTTTTCTTTGAAATATTTTTGTGGTTAGTTTCCAGTAAACATAGACTACTCTGATTAGTGTTAACATAGAAAATAGCTTCAATCATACCACATTTTCAGAAAATGTATATGTAAGAGTTGAGATCATTGTCGAATTGAACTATTCAAGCTATAATGCTGATCTTCAACATATAAAACATGGTTTCTTTTGAGTGAAATAACCTCATGATTGCAGATAAATTTTTACAATATGATGTTTTGTGATAGTGGTCACGTGCTTCCAGATTTAAAAGTGGGGTTCTAATTACTACAATATAAAAAGTACGAGTGATAGTCATAATTGGAGCATATACAAGGTGGTTTGATATACTTCTCACTGCATGGAATAAATACGTGGTGAGCATATGTTTTCAATGGAAGGACAAACTGAACTCTTTGTGTTTGTAGTATAGCATGTTGATATATACGCATGTCTAGACCCGGTCGATTGGACATCTCCACCTGTAATTTATTGACGGGATTTTTTCTCATCAAAATCGCGTGCCAAGTAAGCTCCCTCCTTAATCCATATATTTTTCTTAATATGCACATGCACACCCTCATAGGAAACATGTACATATTTGTAATTTGGGTGCTTCATTAGTGTTGTTTCCATAAGATTGTATTATCTAAGGTGGTTGTTTTAGAATTCTGAATCGTGGTTGCATCTCCTCTAAGAAATTGTCAAGTTAAGTTTTAAAAGAGGCTAACCTGAGCTTCCTCTTTAATTTAGATGGTAAGAGAACAATGACCCACGTCAAAATGATTGGGGGTTGATAGTGCCTGAAAAAAGGTTTAGCATTCTTCAAAGCATCACAAGATCCTAACAGTATCGCAATCAAAGCAATTTTTATTTTCATGCATGATGTTGATACAAGTTGTTTACCTAGAGGAAAGCCCCAACAAGTTAGCTCTTGGAGTTGCGATGCGAAAATAGGTAAGGCAGAAATGGTTTATACAAAAGGTCATACTATGATCATGTAGAATGTGTTGGTAGAGATAGTCATCAATCTCATTTTATTGACGAAGCCATTGAGAAGAAGAGAGGAATCGTCATTGGTACTCTAAATTTTACAAGGCTATTATAATGATCATTTCTTTCATTTCACGTAAATTTGTATTATGGCTGAAGTGATATTACCTCAAGCCATAAATTGCAGCAAGGAATGGTCATTTGAATTAATGTGCACTGATGCAAAATGCCATGTAGCTGCCACTAAGGAGTAAGAGTGGACCAATCAGTGTGTTTGCTATCGAGAAGGATAAAAATCGTGATAATAGGCAGGGTTCATGACGATTGACTTATACAGATTGAAGAGATAGAAAGTATAGAGTTGTAAGTCATTTGTGTGTTTAGTGTAGCAGAGTGGTTAGGAGTGATTTGGTAGGATTTCACAGTGGTAGGGTTATTGACAAAAGTTATTATCTGTTGGTACTTCCAGTCATATATAGCTTGCCTGTTTCTTTTATTTGTATATGAGATTTCTACAGCAGATTGCATGTTTTATATATTTTTTTTTTTGTCATTTTAAATAACAAAACTATTTATCAGAAAAAAACTGGCCGACGCAGTCCATCGACTAGATTTAGACATTGTTATTTTTTGTTTTCTCAACCAGGGATTCATCGCCTTTGGTATCATTGTGGTTTTTGGTATAAGGGCAATTTAGATTGGGGTTTTCTTATGAAATCTCTTGGTGGCTTCCATTTTTACCATCGATAATTGGAAGTAAGTAAGCATTCATTTGGTTTTTTCATGTTCACTCTAGGGGCATCATTGTGCATGGCAATAGTGACTATATTTAAGGCTAATGGCTTGATTTGGATTGTCCATCATAGTGTTTATGTTTTACTGTTTCTTTTGTAATGCAATGAGATAATGACTTTTCATCACATTATTATGATGTTGTTGACCTACCTACAGCCATCGCCGCATACATATTAACGGGTACTATCATTTATAATCAAATAGTCAATTTTCGAGACAACGTTCGGCCAAGAGGCCGGGTGGGTAATAAGCTAGTTATATATCTATATCCATTCCATCTCCGTCCCATTTAATCCATTGCCCTCCCCCTTATAAGAGGCCTACATTATTGTCCATCTGTTATTTAACAATGTTGATCAAATCCTGTCTTTCCATCTTTGTCCTAATGAGGGTGAATTAGTAAGATGAAGGGAATAGGATTCTCAACCCATATAATTTTCCTTGTTTCTTCCCATAGTCAATTATTTTCTTTATCGCCAATTGGCAGTAACAAATGTATTTAACTTTTTTGTAGAGGTTTCTCTTGGTGGTGTGGACTTAACTGCATGCATTAGTTTGTTTGCTGTACGTTTCATTATTTCGTGGAGATAATAACCATGATCCCATGTTTTGTAATTTTGTTAGGGTTATTCCAGAGTCCCAAACTGAATTATAAATGTCACTCCTGTTTCAGGTAGTGGGCAGCCATCTAAACAATACATTAATACAGTACAAATGAGCAGCAGCGGGCCATCACCAATGGTGCCTTTACTTGTCGTGGGAGCTATGGGGATGGCGATTCTAGGTCCTGTACCCATGATAGCTATCGGCGTGTTGCTTTCATGGTGTGTGCCAATTTTTGGAGTCTACAACGGTGGAAGCTGGCCGAAAGGGTCGTCGGAGTCGGCGTATGAAGGGGAAGGATACACTTTGGGAGCCTTGATTCTGATTCTCTTCTTCTTTGTTTTGTATGCTCTCTTGAGCTGCTGGTAAGAGCCTGAACAAACTCCAATGGGGGTGGTTTTGTTGTTTTTGCCCCTTCCATATATGTTTCTTGTTTCCCAAGTTTCAATGTTTGCCACTCCAGAGTGGCCGGCCTTCTTAATCTCATCCTAACCGCAATGCTTTCATTTCACTTCCTGTTCTGTAATTGGTGGCAAAAGAGTTGGGTTGTTTCCTCTCGCAGAAACATTTGTTTGGTGAGGTACTAAAATGGTGCTTTTGTCCTTCTGCATCCATTTCTACGTGTGTGGTTGTTCTATCAGCATGTCCAAATGAAGGAAAAAATTAATCTTGGTTGTATATCAGAACTATGGCAAAAATTTTTTATCAAAGTATCTACAGAAATGGAACGTGAAACTACTACTGCTACAATCATGAAACCACATACTGCTCCAACTGTTTGGTCCTTTTCTTATTCTTTAGCTTCAGGAAGGCACTGGACTCGATTTGCCGTATTCTCTCCCTGCTCACTCCAATCAACTCCCCTATCTCTTGCAATGTTTTCATCCTTCCATCGTCCAGCCCAAACCGCCACCTGATCACTTGGCTTTCTCTCGGATTTAAGGTATCTAGCACCTTCTCTAGATCCTGCTTCATGAATTGCTTCATTAGCAGATCCTCCGATGTTTCGGCATCTGGGTCAGCAATCACTTCCTGCAGCAAACAGAGCATGAAAGAACCAAACCATTCAGGCTTCTATAGAAGGGCCGAAGTTTGGGAGACTTAAAATGAGTTTAAGATTATATAACCGGAGTGAGAGTGAGTTACCGAAGGTTTGAGGTCCATGTTGACGCCCATCTTCTGGTCGAGAGATCTTGGAGCTTTTGGTGTCAGCAGAACAGCTTCAAGCCTTTTCATGGAAAGCCCAGCTGCCTCTGCAACTTCTTCATTGTTCGGCTGCCTTCCGTTTTCACTGTACAATACCCTCTTTGCCTCCTTCACTTTGTAGGACGCCTCAACCATGTGAAACTGGTTCAATGTTTATTTCGGAACAAGAGAGGTCTGAAATTAGTTGGCAGAAGGCATAAACAGACTACTGAGATTGCAAAAGGTAGGTGAAGCCTACAGGTAAGCGAATTGTCCTCGATTGATCGGAGAGAGACTTGCGAACTGCCTGTTTAATCCACCAATGAGCATAAGTTGAGAATTTGAAGCCCTTTGAAGCATCAAATTTCTCTGCACCCCTTACAAGGCCTCTGCAACCTTCCTGTTAGGACAAGAATCAAACCTCAGCTGGTAGAATTAATTTAACTGAAGCTATCAGTCCGAGCCTAGCGTCGTAGGCACCTTCCTCTTGGCAGTCATGAAAGTACTTGCTCCTTTTTTCTTTCTTAAGTGATGTCACGCTTCAGTGGCAAAAATGTGCATACCTGAACAAGATCTTGTAGATTCATCCCAGACCCTTGATAATTTTTGGCGATGGAAATGACGAGCCTTATGTTTGATTTTATCATCTTATCCTTGCAAATAGTCCCATGGTTTAAGCGCCTCCTCAAGGTCTTCTGATCTACTCCTGCCGCAGCAGCCCATTGTACAAATGTTGGCTCGCCTCCATATCTCTCCACAAGCTCCTTGTGAAGCCGTTCGATTTTAAGTAGGTCCTATTCATTACCAAACACACGTGATAATTTTATAACCCTACAGAGTAATGTAAGTAAGAAGTTCACAGGTTTGGTGAAAGATGGTGGCTTTAGATCCGTAAGGACACATATCAAGATGCCGTGAGCCAAATACAATTATCCCTTATGTTCCAGAAAAGATGAAAATAGAGGAGGGTGATTATTGCAGGTGAAACTAGAATTCCAAGAGAACTTACCATGCTCTAGAAATTCATAACAGTACGAGGATGACATCATGCGAAAATGTACTATTTAGTGATCATCCAAAATTGGATGAAAATCACTTTCTTTTGAATGTATTAGATGGGAAAGTTTAAACAGTAATTTTCTTTTCTTTTTAGGAACCTCATTTTCACTCTCCCTTTTTTCCTTCCAGAGCACTATTTTCTCCTTATCCCTTCCACCCCTTCTAAAACATAGGGCAGAAGAGAAAATAAACATCTAAAATATAACCAATGCACCAACAACCTACCTGCACCTTGCCGTCTCCCATGCCCTAATTAGACAACTAACAACAGCATTTTTCCTTTCAGTAATAGAAAATGGAGAGAATCTGCAGTCTAACCTGTATCCCTTCTGAAAATTCCAACTCTTCAGCAGAAGTAAGAAGCCTCGAAGTGCTAGTGGTAGATCTCAAATAACGCAAAGGGTCAGAATGGTCTACTTCTTGTATAGAACCACGCTTTCTTCTATTCGTTGGAATAGATTTTGTAGAAACATTTGCTGCAGAAGAAACCTTCTCAGCTGCTCTAGCTCGTCTCCCTTTCCTTTCGTTTTGCTTTGTTGATCTCACAGCTATATCTTCCGAAAGCTCTTCCTCTAGAACGGAAAGTTCTGCAAGTGTTGGCTCCAAACACTCAGATTCCTCCTTGATAGAAGTGTCCTCAGTGGATTGGCTGGCTTCTCCATTCGCATCAACTCCTAATATGTCGGCTCGTTCTGCTTCAGTGAGTTGGGACCGAATTGATGAGAAAGTGTAAGTGTTTGCTGTCTTGGATTCTGCTTTCATGGAGTACTGGTTGTTAATCAAGGCCGCAGCATCTTTTGCAACCTTGACAGCTGCTCTGGCAAGAGCAACTGCTTCAGCAGCTGCTGCTGAAATGACTGCTTCATCGCTAGTAATAACTGTTTCTGTAGCTACAGTTGCTTGGAAGGTTTCCTACGCAAGCATCCAACATTAACCAGTTCAGTAATGCAGCTGATTATAGCTGGAAAAACTAAATCCCAGCGAAACATAAATGAAAATAAAATGATGATGAGATTTTTTTTTCTTAGCAACGAACACGTACTATGAAAAGACACTAAACATGTCCAACCCATATACACAAATTGAAATTTGAAAATCATAAAACTAGCAAATCTGGTACATGCCGGTGCATAATTCTTCAGATGCTCATTTCTCTCACTCATAAGTTCTAGAATAAAGCTCCATATTGCAAATATTGTGCAACAGTTCTCTTGCGATACTGCTTGTTCTTATACTCACTTTTGTTAAGCCACCACAATTCAACCTCAAAGAACAGCCAAAGGTTTAAAAAACTTGGTGATTCAAAACTTGTATAGAGTTACTGTTCCATTCTAATCACTATATGCAACTTGCTACAGATGACATCCTACCGGTAAGAAAAGTTCCACAATTCTCTGATGGGAAACTAGACATATATGAGGCTGAGAAAGCCACTGAAGAATCTGTATGAATCAAAAGAACGAAAGCTCACCTCTTTAGGTGGACCGACTGCCCCCGTATATGTCCATGTTCTGTTAGCTGCAACCGAATTCAAATGCGGTTCTAACGAAGATAGTCTCAACTTCTCCAATTCAAGCACAGCAGCAGATGTGGAAGTAGTTGTTGATAAAGCGCATTGTGCTCGGAAAAACAAATCCTTTGCTGGATAACCATCAAAAGGGAAACCATCAAAACACTAAAGAGGGTCTACAACCCAAACCAAACCATCACAATTCGATAATTGAATAAGAAAATCCCCAGCAGGAAAAGAATCATGAGAAATGTCACTACTACTGAAACAAGCACAGAACTGGATTGCCTTCCCAGAAAGAAAATGAAAACCCAATCACAAACCCATTGAAACAAGAACCTTATCCACATTGCTTTACCAGATCAGTCAAACCCGTTTCAGTATTGTGAAAACAAGAGCCGGTAGAAGTGTGGTTGAATTCCAAACAATCGGAAATGCGGAAAGATAACAGAGGCATGTAAAGGAGATGAAATTTAGAAATACCATGATGGTGGTGGTGGTGGTGATGGAGGAGAGGTCTGGAGTGGAAGGAGAAGGTGTTGTTATCTATTCCTGGTGGGCACTTGAACGGCGGCAAGAGACAAGACATAGTAAAAACCCAAAATTGGTCCTGGCTTCTTCCCTTTCATTCATCAATTAAAAGTTGAAGTCTTTCAGCAGCCTTCCGCTGTTAATCACTGCGCTAAACATCGGCGAAGCAAAATAGGAGACGACGAGAAGGGCAACAGAGAATGTGGTGTATCGGAAGCTTGGGGGAGGGGGAAGCAGAGTACAAAGAAGTGAAGACGAGAGGACGGAGAGGTTTCAGTGTGTGTATTTTGGTGAAGAAGATGATAAAACACTGGATAAGGGTCCCTTTTTCCAGAGCAGCGGGCCTGCTATTAGCTGCTGGATACTGCAAATGAGCCTAAGTCGAGTTTTATCTCAGTTTGAGTTCGGCTCGAGTTCGACTCGTTTATTAACGACTCGAGTTCGACTCGTTTATTAACGAGCCGAACTCAAACTGAGGTAAAACTCGACTCAGCTCGGCTGATTTGCCCGAGTTCGACTCGTTTATTAACGAGTCGAGTCGAGATCGAGCTAGCTTGTTTACTAAAATCTTAACTTTTATTTAGTACTTCATTTTGTATATCATTATGCACATGATTTATTTTGTTAGCTAATATCATATTATACTTTGTTGGTATCATATATCATTTAGTTAATAAATTTTAACTACTCCAAATCATGTTATTTCATAGTAATGAAGCAATTTACGATACTTAATTTTTTTAAAGTAGAAAATAAGATATATTTGCTCACATATTCAACGTTTTAAACTTTATATATGGTGAGATATAATTTAACAACCATATGAATTTAAAACATAAGATATAGATTGATTCGTCCATAAGCCGGTAATCGAGTTGGCTCTCTAGCCACATGTTGAGACATATCATGAGCTCTAAATGAGCCAGCTCACGAGTTTAGCTCAACAAGCCACCGAGTCGAGCTAGCTCGCGAGCTTCACGAGCTGAAGAAAGCATAGTTCATGTTCGGCTCATTTATAAACGAGCTGAGTTTCGAACGAGCTTTTCTCGAGTCGCACACCAAGCCGCTCGCGAACAGCTCGGCTCATTTGCAGCCCTACCTGCTATGCTGCTGAGGCGCTCTCTCTCGTTTACCTCCTGCGGACCAGAGCCGCCCGCCACTGCACAACGAGCCGGCCCAACAAACTGAACTGAAATTAGAGCTGTATTTTAAAGCTGACAAAATACATTATACTAAATATGCACTAATTTGATAAACTTAGCCATTTTTGTAAAAATAATTAACAACGTAGACATTATGTTGATGTGGATACCACCTTAGACCTCCTCATCTTTCATATCAGCTTTAACTCGCCACATCATGCTACCTGCCAGTCACGGAGCCATGTCATATTTCAATTTTAAATAAAAAAAAATTCATAAATTAGGGCTCAAATCCAAATTTCTAAGACTTCCTTGCCCGATCAATGATTTGCAAAGATCTCTCTGTTATTAATCGTTTCTTCTGCCTTACGAGTTTAAAGAGTGCGAAGCATCTTGAGTTCTTAACCTAGTTTCCTTCTTGCCTCCTCTTTCCCATTTCAGTTCCTTTGTTCATCGATTCGTTAGAGTTCCTTGAAAATTGATTTCACTTGCTCTGTTTTTCTTATATCCCTCCATGCTTCCTCTTCAGTGAGGATCATCACATCTCTTGACCATTAACTTCTCAATCCAGATTTGTAATGCTCAATTTGCCCCAAAAACCCTTCAATTTTGTTATATTGCTCACAACAATTTTTGTGAGTAGTTGCTCACACGGGTGGATGAGAGGCCATGTCAGCTGAGCTGTGAATGGAGGGTTGAGATTGAATGGAGAGGGAAGGGCTAACATAAGTGAGAATCTTGTGGTCTTAAGCCGAGAGCCAAGCTATCGAAGGAAAAAAGGGCCTAGGTTGCTTGTTCTGGAAAGATTTCGTCAATTTTTAGCTGGGAGAGAATTTGTGGGCATTTAATGCCACCCACCTACTTTCTCTCTCAAGCCTTCTCTCTCGTTTTCCCCTCTCTCTCTCTCTTCCAAGCAAAAACTCCCATTATCTTCTCATCTTCGATTGTCGCCTTCCAGGGTGATGATTGACTACGATAGCTATCTTCTCTGTTTGTCATCATGCGCGATGAGATTCGGGGAAGAAAGAGACCCGTCACTCGCAATGGCGATGGTATCATGGAAAATATCGGAGAGAAAGACTCATACGACCTTCAAAAGGAATCTGTTGTAGATCCAGCACAAGCTTTTGTAGATCCTCCAACACAAGACTCTTTTGATGAGTTATTAGCTGTTTTGAGTGGTTTGGAAGGATGTATTGTCGATGGCGAAGGTGAAGCTTATATATGTTTGTGTTGTTGAGTCTAGTTGGAAGCATTGAATGGAATTTAATTATGTTCGTGTACGTGTGTAATATTTGTTTGATGTTTTTAATACTCTTTCTACGTCAGTGAATACATGTTCGACAGTGACGAATACGAGTTAGTCTACTTTTGGTTGGATGTCGTGTATATCATTTGTCTGAGTCGAATGCATATTGGATACTAGTTCAACAAGTTTGGATACGTGATAGACACTAATGGATTCGAGTTAGTTCATTGTTTATGAGTGCACGTTGGACATTTATGAATATTTCTTGGAGAGCATTGAATACTAGTTGGACATTTTTTACTATTTGTTAAGACACTTTTGAATATGAGTTAATAAGAGTGTCGAAAACTTGTTCGTGAAATTGGATACCTGTTGGGCTATTTTGAATACTTATTGGACGCTTTTGAATACATGTCCAACTGTCTTATAAAATTTTATCATGCTTTAACCTCGCAGCTCATAATACTTGGGACCTGGAGGACGAGGAAGCGTAGGAAAACATTTTTTTGTAGAACAAGGAACATTTCATTCGCAATAAGAAGATTGTTACTATTTTTATGCATGCTATGCTCACGAGAAAGAGTTTGGTACTTGAATAGATGCCTAGCACCACAAGAAAAAGAAGAGTTCAAAAGGAGAGGCAGAGGAACTATATTACTACTTATATTATGGTTGCAACAGGGACGGGTTTTCTGAAACTAGTGAAGCAAATGTGGAGAAACAACCTGATGACAAAGTTGTGGAGGAAAGGCATCCTAAAAGAAGGAGCCCTGAAGTTAGGGTTGGATGCAATGCGATTGTTCGTTTTCGATGGGATGCCCATAGGGAGGGATTGTGGTGTCAAAATTCAAAGCAGCAACAATCATGGTTTGCACTCCAATAAGCATAGGCATCTAATCAAGTCCAACAGGTGTGTGAACAAAGCTCAAGAGCTGATGGCCAACGCAAATCGGGATGCAGGTATCAGTCTCAAGTCTTTGCATCATATATTGGCCATGTATGCTGTATAAGATCGGATAAGAAGAACCACTTAAACAAGAAAATGCAAAAAAAGATGTATCATGGAGAAGCTACATATTTGCTTGAGTACTTTCAGGAGCAAATGACCAAGTATCTCAGATTCTTCTGTGTAATTGAGGTACATTGCAAGGAGCAAGTTGCCAATATATTTCGGGCAGATAAGAGGATGTGAGAAGATTACGAATTTTTTGGCAACTCAATCTCATTTGACACGACATACTGAACCAACTAAGCTTTTTGTCCATTGGGTATGTGAATCACATTTTTTCGTGCCTTATGTACTTGGCGCATACCCATGAATGCGAATAAACATTTTGGTAAGCACAGGGTCATTTGAGTTATGTTTTCTACATGGTCGACAATGAGCCCGAGTTTGAGGTGGCAGCATGCTTGAAGATTGTTTCTCCAACTATGACTTTGTGGATGGAGACCCATTAATGGAATATTTGAAGAGATCTCTATGCAATGGTGTTCCATATGGCTGAGAGGTCAATTCATAGTCGGAATGTTGACAACGCAAGCAACCGATTCACACAAGTCCCACATTTCTTGAAATCGAACCATAACATCATAGTTTGGTTGTACTTTAATAATGGCGGCAAAGGATAGCATACACTCGAGGTGTAATATACACCTTCGTTCACATTTAGTTGTACTTTAATATATTTTGACAAATAAGAATTGTTTGTTATTATTTATTCATTAAATGAATCGTACGATTTGGATTAGATAATTAGTGACCGGGGTTCACCCATTAGTGAATATGGTATAGTATCATGTCCCAAACTCCGTTAATTCATGGTCTAAAGAGCAAAATTCAATAGGAGTATGATAAGGTGGCGTAGGCTAGGTTAAACCATGTACAACTTATGAAGTTAAAAATTGTTGGTCAATCAAAGATCAAATGGTCATGAATACTATTTTCCAAGTGGTGCTGAAGTTACAATGTTATTTGACATAATTGTTTATCATGATTAAAACCTGGATTAAATGTACCGCCCCTCATATCAGGCGAAACACGATTAATAGATAACAATAATAAATAAATATGAAAAGTAGGAATCTTATACCATTGGAAAATGACAGATAATAAAAAGAGTACAAACAAATAATACTCGCCGCCCATCGGGTTAGCACAAAACTAGTTGTTATAAGAGATTTTGGGTTATAGCGCAGATTCCACAGTTGTTTTGTAAGAATGGCATAATCGAAGATCATGAGGTCAAAGAAAACCGGTACTTCCTTTGCATACATTGTTTTTCTCGTTGTTTTTAGTGAATTCTTCTTCTCAAAAGCTTGCCATCAAACAATGGATATCATCAATGATTACATATATTATTTATATTTTCTCTTCTTCATTTTCCATCCTTATATGTTACTCGCACGAAACTACACCACAAATTGATCCCGACTAGAGCCCAAGTTTTTAAACTCTAGTTGGGTGCAGTATAGAGCAAGTATTTAAATTGTCAACCCGAGCCGATCCATGTACCCCTGCTTCAATTGCTTAGGTTGTTATCTAGCAAACAACTTTTGGATTTAGAGCTAATGAAACTACAAACTAAACAAGCAAAGAAAACTAAATAAAGGAAAATCCTTACTAAGGGAGCTTCACCGAGGAATTGCTTCGCCCTAACTAGCTACCATGACTTGTTGGATTGAATGAAGTCGTGAGGCGTAGGTGGTTGTGAACCTCGGGGGTGAGCAACTAGTGATCAATCTGTCACGGCATCAATTCACCAGTGATCGATTTGTCAGGAGATTGATCCATTCACTTAGGATCTAGTGGTTTCCTAGGTCTCTCCCTCAAACCGGAGTTTGAGCACCTTAATCACACCAACCTAGATGCAAACAGGTAACCGCGTACCGCAGAGGGATGCATATGTGGTCGAAGACCACAATCTCAATTGCTATACCGAGGTAAGCATGAAAGGTCGTGTCACTCGAACCTCTTAGTTTAGACAATCGGTAGTTGACTTACTCTCTCACTCAACTCAAGGTTTGACGGCTTAATCACGCTTAACCAATTTTCTTAATTCAACATTGAGGTTTGTCCTAAATTAACCTAGGTTAAAGTAGCTAATTAGATTGCTAGCACCAACATGCACAAACCTAAGGGTGCTAAGCACAATTATGCACAATCCTTAGTTGCTAAGCTCCACAATGCACAAACCTAAGGATGCTAAGCACAAAACATGCACAACCTTTAGATTGCTAAGCACGAGCATGAACAATCGACATGAATAATACCTCAACCCTTGAATTAAACACTACCCAATGACAATCATTCAATCTAAACAAGTAATTACAAAGTATTACTTAGGGATCTACAACACCCAAGAGAAAGAGTGAGTTTCTAGAGAGAGAAAGAGAGAGAGGGATTACAAATTTGAGCTCAAGATCTTCTTCTTCTTCTAGGATTGAATCTTCCACCGAAGCCTCCAATGATGCTCCAAGATCACTCTAGCTCTCTCTCTCTCTCTCTCTCACACACACACACACACACACACTAGAACTCCCCTTTGGTGTTTAGGTCGAAACCCTAGAGAAAGAAAGTGTTTCTTCTCCAAAACCAGCTCTCCTTTCTCTCTCCCCGCTACTGTCTTCATATTTGCCCGAAAGCGATCAGTTCACGGACGTGTTGGCTAGATCACGGTCGTGAACACCTAAACGCGTGCGTGAACTCAATGTCGTCCCTAAACGCGCCGCTTCACTCTGGTGGGTTCACGGTCAATGGCCCCAGTTCACGGTCTTAGAGACCGTGAACTGCCTTGTCGTTAGTAACTTCTGGAACCTCGTCGGATTGCTCAATGTTCACGGTTTGTGGTCCATGTTCACGGTCTTAGGAGACCGTGAACTGCCTTGTCCGACCATGAACTGTGGCTGTTTCCTGGGACACCTTCACTTCCCTACTACGAGGCAATTGTCATGGTCTTCGGACTTTTCTTCGGTTTTTGTGCTTTTTGACCTCCAAATATCCCAAAACTCGTCCTCGACCCTTCCACACGTGCTAGGACCTGAAATGTATCAAAACACGCACAACCTAGCGTGAAATATTGACTCGACTCTACTGTCACTCCAGGAATTGGCCAAGTGAAACCACTTCCTAAAGCGTAGTATAGCGGGTTTGGGTTTAATTATCAACCCGGGTCCTAGATATGATGACTACTGAGTGAATTCGTGTTATCTAGCAATGAAACTGGAATGCAAGTCTAAACTATCAAACTAACAAAGCAGGTAAACGGTTGTATTCAGGTTAAGAGAGGTCACCCGGATATGGTTCCCCCTAGACTGCAGTTAAGCCGGATTGTAATTACCAAGTTCAGTTTCTATGAAAGTTATACTGCGGAAGGTTCTTAAACAGCCTGAAGTCTCGACTAAAGGTCTTCAGACCCTCTCAATCTGAATCTCTAGCGGGCGACTAACCTCCACCGGAGTAGACAGATTGAGGCCCTAAGAACGAAACCTCCACTACCGGAGTAAATCCGGTACAGAATAGTGAGTTGGTTCCTCGACTAAAGTCACCAACTCCCTACCTTCAATCAAGGATACTCTATTAACCTAGGCAGATATTCTCATTCTAGGTTAAAGCAGAAACAACAGGAATTTGATCAGGATTCAAGTCGTTCAATCATTAAAACCTCAATCGAATATAATCAATCATAGAAGCAGTACTTGGGTTCATACAATCAAAGCCTAACATACAAATCTAGGGTTCTCCATACCCAGATGAATGGGAGAACTACTCCATGGAGAAGAAAGCAAAAGCAGAATCAGACACGGAATTCATACTGCGAAGGATGGATTCCTGCTTCTGGACGTTGATTGGCACTTCTCCAAGCTCAAGCTAGCCTCCAATGGTGTTGAAGATCAATCTAGGGCACTTGGGAACTCTTGCTCGTCACTTTCTCTCTCTAGAAATCGCTCTCTTTCTCCAAAACCCGAATCCCCCCGAATTGTGGCTGAAATTCTGCTTAAAAGGAGAAAATCCCGACTCACACGGCCAGGGTGGCACGGCCGTGCAGCTCAACCAGTTGCCCGTGTGAGTCAAAACGCAGCGTATCATTTAGTCGAATTTCAGGCTCTTTGCACGGCCAGAATGGCACGGCCGTGTGAACTTCCCTTCCTGCCCGTGTTTGCTCTCGCAGAATGTGGCACGGCCAACCCGGCCACTTGCACGGCCGTGTGGGTCTTCTGCTCTGCCCGTGTCTGCTCTCGCAAAATCCCGCACGGCCAAACCACTCCTTCACACGGCCGTGTGTACATCAGGGCAGCCCGTGTGACCTCCTTTGTGACTTGTCTCGCGCCCGATCTTCACCCAATCGACCCCGAACTCGCTCCTAAATTCGCTTGCCAGGACCTGAAATATCACAAACGAGCACAACCTAGCGTGAAATCGGTCTAAAACACGAGAAACCACATCTCCAACAGTGTAAGAACAGGGGTGAAAACATGTGTAACTAACGGTCTATCAAACTCCCCCACACTTAACCGTTTGCTTGTCCTCAATCAAACCAAGTCAGACACAAGGTAAGCTCAAAACAACAAGGCATGACATATCGGCACAAAACACATGGATCATACTGGCTTTCGATCAATAACACATGGACAACTTCAATGACAACCTAGACAACCACCACTGATGACATTCGAATGCAGCAAAAATCGAGCAAAGGAAGAGTTTCCCTTCTATTCACCAACCAACATAGACTTAACTCAACCACTTGTTCAAAACAGTCACATCATGCACAAAATTCAAGGTATCAGAAGTAAGACCGAGCAATCAAGGTCCTCACCGGGATAGAGAGTATAAAGAATAAGAGAAAATGAATCGCTCACTCTCGACCAGTGGGGTCAGGACAATATGATGCGAAAAATGCGCATGCTCAATCCCTCAATCCCTAACATCTCTTCACCATGAATGCAGCCTCTAAGTGCTAGAGTTCACATATGGGGTGTCACCACTAACTAATCCGGAGGTCTTAGACTCAGGTTCAGACGACTGGCTAGGGTCTTGGACATGGGGAAAAAGCCTTTTAGGTGGTGGAAGTATTCATACAGCACAAGGTTCCACATTTCCAAACCCAACAGACTCACAATCAATCAGACCAGAAACTTTCTTTCTGCTATTATGCATTACTCAAATTCAGAACACAAGAGCGAAGGAGGTTACATAAATGCTAGTATTTCTAAGCCAGACTGCTAAGAAACACTACTACATGGGCGTTATTCAGATTTTTAGTGGTGGCCCTCTTTTGCTTTCATTTTTTCTTTGATTTCCTTTCATTATTTTCCATTTCTTAAGAGAACCACCACCTCTGCACAATTTTAAGCACCTGCCCAACTTTTAAGCACTACCTCCAACCCTCACATTACGTTTAGCAGAAACAGCAGAGAATAAGTAAAAACCACTATGTGGAACCTTCTAAAAGATGCAAAGGGTGATTTTTTTCATTTCAGACCAAAAGAAAGGATAACACACGGCTCAAAGGGGCTGACTAGGGGGTATGACACACTAGGACAGTCAATTTGGTCGTGGGCTAATCCTATGCCTCCATCATCTTAGCTAATGACAACGTGAATGCTGCACATCATGGAAGAGGAAACTATCGCACAAGAAAGAAACGAGCAGGCTCAAATCTCACATGGCTACCTACATGCTCTGTCTCTCGTTCTGATTCCCTGAACTAGATGCATAAATGACTGTCAAAAGCAAGTGATCAAACCAAGTCACATTTGGTGAGCAGACAGTTGAAAAACTGAACCCCTACACAATTCTACTGCACATCTCAGTCATCACAATAAGTTGTCTAAGCCACACTCAAGTTGTCATGTATCAAGTCAAAAGCCATTCAATTCTCTAATCACATCCACAGTGCCAATATGATCAATCATCAAGCAAACAGCCGTGCTTGGAGCCCTCAAATCTCGAGATTTGGGCAGTGGACTAGGCTCCAAGCACACAAACAGATCTAATATAGTCAAAAGATAACATCCCCCCACACTTAAGATCGACATTGCCCTCAATGGAGAAGAGGGAAGGAAAAGGGAATGATGTTACCGGTATGCACGGACTGCAGGGGGCTGGAAGCGGACTGGAGAGAGTACCAGTCAAGACAAGCACAGCCAAAGGAAGCCAAAGAGCTCAAACACAATATGTTAGGTCCAATGGTCAGCCCAATAAGATATCATCCAAACCAAAAGAAAACAAACCAAACGCAAACCGGGTTACAATCCTACTCAAAACACACGAAAGAAAATCAAACCGTGGTGGGGTTGCCTCCCCACAAGCGCTTCTTTACCGTCTTTTAGCTGGACGCAAATTGCGGAACTAAGGGTCCGCGAGCTCCACTGCTAACTCCGCACGTTCGACCTCGTCTACCAGGTAGAGCTTGAGACGATGGCCATTCACTTTAAACGGCTCAGTTTGTGGGTTAGCAATCTCAATCGTGCCATACGGGAACACCTGTGTGACCGTGTACGGTCCAGACCACCGGGAACGGAGTTTTCCGGGAAAGAGCTTCAGGCGAGAGTTATAAAGGAGAACTCGATCACCAACCTGGAACTCTTTCGGACCCCGCAACCGTGCATCATGTAGGCGCTTCGTGCGCTCCTTGTACAGCTTGGTGTTCTCATAGGCGTGATAACGCCACTCTTCCAGCTCCAACATCTGCATTTTTCGCTCAACACCTGCAACACTAACATCCAAGTTTAGCAGCTTAAGGGCCCAGAAGGCCTTGTGCTCTAGCTCCACGGGCAAATGGCATGCCTTTCCATAGACCAGCCGGTACGGTGAGGTACCAATGGGCGTCTTGTAGGCAGTGCGATATGCCCACAGAGCATCATCGAGCTTGGTGGACCAGTCCTTGCGGGACAGGTTCACCGTCTTCTCCAAGATCCGCTTGAGCTCCCGGTTCGTCAGCTCGGCCTGGCCACTGGTCTGGGGATGATAGGCCACGGACACCTTGTGAGTTACACCATAGCGAGACAACAATTTATCGAACTGACCCTGGAAATGGGTGCCTCGGTCGCTTATGATAGCTCTAGGTGTCCCGAACCGGGAGAATAGCTGCTTCAGAAAACCACAAACACGTCTAGCATCATTAGTGGGCAAAGCTTGCGCCTCGGCCCACCTAGAGACGTAGTCAACAGCAACAAGGATATATGTATTTCCAAAGGATGGAGGGAAAGGGCCCATGAAGTCGATACCCCAGACATCAAAAATCTCACAAGTAATAAACACATTCTGGGGCATCTCATCACGGGCAGAGATGTTACCTGACCTCTGGCATCGGTCGCACCTGCGTGCGAAGGCGTCGGCGTCCTTGAAGAGCGTGGGCCAGTAGAAGCCCGACTGGAGCACCTTCCTCGCCGTGCGGTTTCCTCCGTGGTGACCGCCAGCAGGTCCTTCATGACAGTGAGATAGAATGCCCTCCATCTCACTCTCCATAACACATCGACGGACGATCCCATCAGCTCCGATCCTGAAGAGATGGGGGTCATCCCAGAAGTAGTACTTCAGGTCGGAGAAGAACTTCCGCTTGGCGTGAGTGGTCATCCCCTTGGGCAGCTGCTGGCCCACAAGATAATTTGCAAAATCAGAATACCAGGGGGTGACACTCTCCACCAAGCACATCATCATCAGTCTCTCATCTGGAAAGGAGTCATTGATCTCCTCCTCGAGGTTGTCCGCAGGGGGTGCGTCCAACCAGGAGAGGTGATCGGCAGCAACATTCTCTGCTCCCTTCTTGTCCCGAATCTCAATATCAAACTCCTGCAGCAGTAAGATCCATTGTATGAGCCTAGGCTTTGCATCAGCCTTGCTCATCAAGTATCGAATCGCGGAGTGATCAGTATACACAATCACATGGGACAAGACCAGATAGGGGCGAAATTTATCGAAGGCAAACACCACCGCGAGCAGCTCTTTCTCCATGGTGGTGTAGTTCTCCTGGGCATCATTCAAGGTCTTCGAGGCGTAGTAGATGGGTCGGAAATGCTGATCACGCCTCTGCCCCAACACAGCTCCAACAGCTAAGTCACTGGCATCGCACATAATCTCAAATGGTAAGGACCAGTCAGGAACAACTATGATAGGAGCCTGGGTGAGCTTCTCCTTCAAGGTCCTGAAAGCCGCTGTGCATGCATCAGTGAACTGGAAGGGAGCATCCTTCTCTAGAAGCTTCGTCAGGGGCAGAGCAATCTTCGAGAAATCCTTGATGAACCGCCTGTAGAACCCTGCATGACCAAGAAAACTCCGGATCCCCTTAACAGATGTAGGAGGAGGCAGCTTGCTGATAGTCTCAATCTTCGCTCTGTCCACCTCAATCCCCATCTTGGAGATCTTATGCCCAAGAACTATGCCTTCTCGAACCATGAAGTGACACTTCTCCCAACTCAGTGCCAGGTTCGTTTCTTCACACCGTCTAAGGACAAGCTCCAGGTTATGGAGACAGTGAGAGAATGAGTCTCCATAAACCGAGAAATCGTCCATAAACACCTCCATAATCTCGCCGACCAGACGGTCAAAGATGGCGAGCATGCAACGCTGAAAAGTCGCCGGGGCATTGCATAGCCCGAATGAGATCCTCCGGTATGCAAAGGTGCCGAAGGGGCAGGTGAAAGTGGTCTTCGCCTGGTCTTCCGGTGCAATCGGGATCTGGAAGTACCCAGACATCCCATCCAGAAAACAGTAGAACTCGTGCCCCGCCAGTCGCTCCAGCATCTGATCAATGAATGGTAGCGGGAAGTGGTCCTTCCGAGTGGCGTCGTTGAGACGCCGGTAATCAATGCAGACACGGTACCCAGTCACCGTGCGCATCGGGATCAGCTCATTCTTCTCGTTAGGCACCACAGTCATCCCACCCTTTTTGGATACCACCTGGGTGGGACTGACCCACTCGCTGTCGGAAATGGCGAAGATGATCCCCGCGTCCAACAGCTTCACGATCTCTGCCCGAACCACAGCCTCCAGGTTTGGTGTCAGTCTCCTCTGCGGCTGTCTCACTGGCCGCATCTCATCCTCCATCAGTATCCGGTGGGAGCAGAAAGAAGGGCTGATCCCCTGGATGTCTGTGATCTTCCATGCGAGGGCTCGCTCGTACCGCTTCAGCAAGGCCACCAGTCTGGTCTTCTGCTCGGGTGTGAGGGTCGAGCTGATGATGACTGGCAGCTTATTCCCCTCCCGGAGAAATGCATACTCCAAATGAGGAGGGAGGGGCTTAAGCTCCAGCTCTGGTGGTTCCTCCAAGGAAGTAGCGATGCGGGTGGAGGATGAGATCGGTTTAAACAGCCTGTCGCCCTCCAAGAAGGGGCCACTCTCCAACTCGGCCAACTGTTCCGCCAGCTGCGGCTCCTGCGATGCCTGCTCACCTAGCAAAATACAACGCTCAAGAACATCGTCAGTACCCGCACTCGTGATGGCGAGTGCGGTCTCATAATCAGCAAGCATATCACAGTAATCTATGTCATCATGAAAATGAGGGTGTTTCCCATTCTCAGACACAGAAAAAGTAGCCTGTTCATCACCAGCACGCAGAATCAATTTACCATTATGCACATCAATAAGCGCCTTGGCGGTGGCGAGAAACGGTCTACCTAAAATCAAAGGTACATCCACATCCTCATTTATATCCAAAATAACAAAGTCAACAGGATATGTGAATGCACCCACATTAACAAGCAAGTCCTCAATGATACCCCTAGGATGCACGATAGAACGATCAGCTAACTGAATGCTCATCCCAGTAGTTCTATGTTCACCTAGGCCTAGCTTCTTAAACAATTTATAAGGCATGACATTTATGCTAGCGCCTAGGTCCGCCAAGG